CCCCTGTTAGCTGTATTTGTGCTGCACTAATTGGAAGTTAAAAGACTCAGAAAAGGGACTCCACATGTCAACATTAACTCCGAGGGGCCGCATTGGCGCTTGTTAGAGAAAACCTAGTAATTGTCTGTCACAGATGTCCAATGAAATGCCTTCAAACTAACAACCTTTGCTGCTTTAAAAATAAATTGGATCAGGAAAAGACAAGCTGATAAATTCAGTTAAACGAGACACAAACTGGGAAGCTCATGAAGACGACAAAATCACCCTGGAAAGAGAACATACCTAATTAGTTGAGAGATGTAAAAAGCCATCAGTCATATATACACATTACTTGAACAATGATACAGAAGATATATGTTGTATTTTAAACATCCAAAAAAGCAGAGAATCAACCCAAGCTGTACATGAAGAGCAACTTCTTAATGTATGAAAGATGACAGTTTACAACAGGAAGCAGAAGTGTTTCAGTTCCAGTAAGACATGGATCAAACAGCTCTCTTTATTAAACCACTGCAGATTCAGACCAGATCCATAATTTGCTTTTACTGGAATAAGTACTGAAAAAGTAGTAATGTCCAAAACTAGCCACATTTCTTTTGCACTATATAGTTTAACGTAAATGGCAAACTTTTTGTAACATTTCTGAGAGACTTTAAGCATTACAACCATTTAAGAAGGGGAGACATTAGTGAGCAAGCTTCTTGTTTATTTTCCAACACTGTGGTTCTTAATCCAAAAGGTGAAACCCTTAAAAAAAAAAATATTCTTACAAGATTAGATGTGGTCACATCAGAGGAGAGCTGTTGCAATATTCACCTGTGAGCTGAGCATAGAACTAACATGAACCTCAGGCCAAGAGACCTGGTTGGTTCCATGATCGTTTGTGCAACAATAGCCAGACCCCATTAAGGCTTCCTGATTATTTTAAAAATGTAATGACCCAGTATAGAGGGACCCAGCATGCATACTAGACAGACAGTGGAATAACTTCAAAAGCATTTATTTAAAACTGGCAGATCTCAGTAGCAGCAGCTAGGACGTCTGAGGCAAGAAACTCTGGAGAGAGGAAACACAGGTTAGTGACTATGTAAATCTAACTGAGGAAGATTATGGACGTGAGTCGCTAACCTGGTTTACAAGTTCATTCCATACTCAGAGAACGAGTTAGGATACAGCCAGTAGGCTGCCAACAAAATGCTGCGGGCGCTGCCTAGAAGCTCCCAGAGAACATGCAGGAGTCCGAAGTCAGGTCAGGCAAACAGATCACAACAGGAACAGGCAAGCTTAGTGGTTAAGAGGCAGAGCAGGACATATGAAACACTAAAGTAGGAAACATTCTCTTCACTGGCACTTGAGAACCAGAAAAATCTGGCCCTGATGACAGAATGCAAGCGGCTTAAATAGAGGCAGGAGCAGGTGAAGCAGATGACAGGTAATGAGAAACCGGGCAGAATTGGACAGATGATTGAAATTAGTAATTAGGCCACTCATCAGTGCCAAGATCCTGACAAAAAAGGTGATTTTCCAGTCTGAGAATATAACAAGTTTAAGTTTCTCAAAAACCTTAAACTCCTCCTTTAAATTGTTCTATAAAATATTATAGCATAATTCATGTCAGTTATCATCGCCCTCACTAATATATTTCCATTATCTGCTTCCTTGTGGTTTTTATAAGTGTGATTAAATTTTACAAGGCAGTCTCTTCCATAAAAAGGCATTTATTGAACAATTGAGAAAGAAAACTCATAAAACCGCTTTAAAACTTTGAATTGTTTAAATCTGGAGGAGCTGAAAGCTTTGTCTCTCTTATAAACCCAAGTAAACCTAATAAAGCTAAGAATGGTGATTTATCAGACAACGGAGAAACACAGAAACAGAAAATGCCTAAACCTAATTAATTCAAGAGAGAAACAGAGAAATAAGGATCTATTCATGGAGAGAGATGTGTGTGAACTTTCAGAATTGTCTCTGGTGAAGAACAAACAGACACACCTCTTATAATAAGCTTAATATCTCTTGATCACACAAAAGGCGATCAATGTAATTGATTCTCAGGATGCCATCACTCAATCAGTCTGCATGGCTCGCTGACCAGCGCTAACTCCTGTGACTTCTATAACCTTTTACCCTGCTTCCCTACTGTGAGAGGGGGCAACGAGCGAGGACAATCACTGATTGCATCTGAGCAGGAAATAAATACATCTCCCTTTACAAGGTTTGTGCAAAGGTTGTTCTCTGTAATCACTTTAGAGTCCACTCAGTGGTGAATTCAGAGCTTCTGCTTGGAAGTTTAGGAGCTCAGAAAGAAAATGCTTAATAAAACATCTGGTGGAGTTATTTCAGATGGGGCTGCATTTTGATAGGACTATTAAGGAGTTTTTTTCCCCCTATTAGTTAAGAGGATGGCTGGTGGGAAACAAATTAAAGATAAAGCTGTTCACACTTACACAGAATGAATGCCTTTTTATTTGTACACAGATGGTAAGAGACTTAGAAAGGTCATTTAACCAAAGAAAAAAAAATCTTTCTAAATTCCTTGAATTTGACCTCCAGATACAAAGACTTTCACATGCCTGCACAACACCACTGATGATTAAACTGCAAAGGAACAGAGGGGTGATTTTATAAGAAAAGTCGGTTCATACTTACAATTTAAACTTCTGAAGGTACTTTAAATACAAATTTATTACATACTGTTCAATAAATGATAAGTGTTTTGAATTAAGAGTAATTTCATTTGAATGTGCTTTACTGGAGGCATCCATGCTTGTCAAAGAACACTACTGTCACCTACCGGTTTGTGACGTCACGGTACGGTATCAGCTGTTGATCAAGTCCCAGTGCTGTATCTGGTGTTCGTCACAATGTGCTATTATCTAAGCCATCTTGAAAACATTCTCCTTTGAAATGTTGGCTACATATTACGTATTTTTTCTCTGGTCAGAAGTTTGATGGCAAATCCTCCATCCTTAAAGTTGTCAATCCAACGACGAACCCGAGGAGGACCATGAATCGGAAAGATTAAAATGTTTTTTCACCTCTACCCGATGTATTACAACATCCAATTGCCATGCACGTGGGCATTGTCAGTTTAACTATAACTCTCGCGAAGTTCAATGGTTAAGTCCTCTTGAAATCTTAAATAATTGTTGTTGGTTGCATATGTAGTTTCCATTGATTTTGCTTGTAAAGCGGGGACCTTTGGGTTACCGCAACAAAAGGTCACTGCCGGAAGATGTCAGGAGTGAGGTGTTACTATATTTGGGCAAGTTTTAGGTATAGATAATGATCATTGATCATTCTTTGCTGGCCAGACTTCTTATTTAAAAAGCTGTTTACATCTTTAACAAAACATCCAAGTTGTTTATTCAACAATTCATCAAATTCAACTCTTCAAAAATGTGTAAAAACCTGGTTGCATAAATACACACTTTTTTAACATACTATTAAAGCCTCTTTTGATGCCGTTAAACTATTAGCATCAGTTGTTATTAATCTGGTAAAATGAGGTTCAACTGTCCATGTCTTATATTTTAGTTCTAACTGTTCACCATAGTTTTTCAGATACCTGTTTATATGTATCTACTGTTGGTATTATTTAAATATACTGTGCTGATTTAAAGGTGATATAAGATACAAGATGGAGGCTTGGAGCAACACTGAAGAAGCTGAATGAATTTCCAGCCAATAATGACTTTGCTCTATAAATGACAAAACCCTGTCATATAAAGTTATTATGTGATTAACTGGTTAACAAGAAATAAAAACATTGAGTGATCAAATACTCATCATAGTAATTAACACAACAGTGAATTTAATTTTATGATGCCTGGTACAAATACATGAATACGTTTACATTATTGGTTGTTAAAGGCCACATCTTCATAACCATCAAAAAATTATATTAGATTACATAAAAAAAAAAAATACTGTATTGATCCATAAGGGAAATTCAATGTTGTAACTCTTATCGTTTTTATTTTTATTTTGTAGAAGACTTTGATAGCCTTAGGTAGGAACAAAACCCCCACAGAGAAGCATGTGGGAGGCAGCATCATGCTACGGTTGGAAGTGGATTTATGTATAGTTTCACCTTACAGTAAGTTTTCACTGAAAAACCTTCAGACGTCTGCTGGAAATCTTAAATGAAAGAGGAATTTATTTATTTTTAGGATCATGCATGATTGCAGCCATCTTTATAACCACAGTGACAAAGGGAAGGACTTACCAGAAAATTAAATATTGTAGAAAATATGGTGCGTTACCTGAGACTGTTAATTAAGACTTCTTTTTCCATTTGATAAATCTAGATAACACTTGCAGGGGAGATGGTAAAAAATAGAAAAATCAAATGTAGGACAGAAGAGAGAGTTGAAACTGAACCGAATGTTACTTTTAAAAACATTAGCAGATCTGTCCAGACCCATAACTGGGCAGCAAAGTTATAGAAAAGATAAAAGGGAATTCCACCTAAAAAACCTACACAGTTATTGGGAATGAAGTAAATATATGAAGATGTTCTCCGGCGTAGCACTAAAATAACCATAGATAAAATATCCTTAATTTAAAAAACAAATTAAATCCAAGGCAAAACTTTCTGTTCTTTTCTGATTAGAAAGGGAAGCAATGACTTTGTTTGAAAAAAAAAAAAAAAAAAGATAGTAGGAAAATCTAAAGAAACGTAAGGAGCTGAGATAAACTGGAAATCTTTTCAGAAAGAGGAGAGAGGCGGCCTGAAAAAGCAGTGCTTGTGTTGTTGAGCATTTTATGAGTCAGCGAGTACAAAGTTCTAAGGTTCAATGATCAAAGCATTACTCAGACACATCTGCACACATTCACTCAGAGGGATAAACATAAACAAAATGCAGAACTCCTTTCAAATGCGGCTGTTTTGGAGGACACTGGAACTCGGAGTAATGCTGCACAGTATCGCCATGTTACAACACACACACACACAAAGGGCTAATCTTCTTACTAATCACAAGGTTTGACTGTTAAAACAGAACAAAGTTCACACTGACAACAGTGGCAGAGTAGAAAACAGTAACAGATACGTTGAAAAAGGAAATCAGAGCAACAATGTGCTTTTCTCTTTTTAAAAACATTTCCTCTCACCTTCTAAAAGCAGTCAGACTTTAAAATTTCACTCAGGGATAATTATTTACATCTGGAAGGAGAACTTAAACATCTACATATTGATGGATCCTGAAAACTGTGAGTTAAAACCTCCTAAAATAAGACTGTTTTAGTGCCTGCTTTGTTGTTTGAGGACACAGGAAGGTCTGTTCAGTTCCCTCCTCTGTTTTTCTATCGCCGTTGGCTTTTGTCACCAGACGTCAGTGGGTGAAACACAGACTAATTTCACGGCAGTTTGCTTCAGGAACAAGAGTGTAATTTAAATTCAGACTATAAGTGCTCTTTCACATGCAGGCTGTAATTTAAACAGGTTGAAAATACCTACCAAGAGCATGAATCTGTGCCACTTCAGCCAGTCTAAATCATACATGTGGGTGGTTATTGTACATTAACGTAAATTTCAGACACTGTGAAGATCAGTGGAGAAGTTTTGGGATTCATGTGAAAATCATGATTATACAGCTTAAAGCGGTTGTATTATGATTTAAACCTACCTACAAGGTGGGTGTAAAATGAGTTTTTATAGCAAATGAAACATAAATTGTTTGGATGATGTTAAAAATAGACAAAAAGGATAAAACATGGAAGAAAAAAAAAATCCAACCAGTAACTAAATCAAACAGTTTTATATAATTATGGAAAAGCAACCGTCTTTAGAAAGAAAAACACTAGAGATGCATTAGAAAACAGAAATGATTCATACTTCTAACAACATAAGAAATTAACATATGAACAAGACAATATAAATAACTTTAACTAAAAGCAAAAACTAAACATGTTCATCTTTAGCTTGCTTCTAATAGAATAAGCAGTCATTGGCTGAGAATATGAATCTAAAATCCTTTCTATGCACAGCAGAGTGATCATTGGCTCACTGGCTGCAGGATGGTCCAAAGCATCATCCTTCCTCCACTGTGCTCGGCAGTAAGCATGAGGCGCTGGTTTCCTGCAATGGGGTCAAACATCATATGACCAAAGAAGATTGTTCCAGAAACCGTACGTCATTTAGATGCTAATCAAAGCTAATTAAGCTAATTTTTTTCCAGCTAAGTCAGAAAGGCTTCAACCTGACATCTCTTCCAAATTTGACGTACATGTTTACTCTTTATCTATCTGTCTAGTCATAAACTTTAATATTCTAGGATGCTAAATGAGGAAGAGGAGTCTGAGATGAAGCTGTTTTGGTTTGATTGATTGATAGACTTTATTGATCTCACAGTGGAGAAATTCACTTGTAAGACTTGCTCAAAAGAAGGAAAAGGTGCATGAGATATATACAATGCATCCACATATATATATACAGTATACAGCAGCTGAAGTCCCTTATTTAACTGGTTATTGCATAGGGTATTAAATGGGTATTTATATAAATAGGTTTATATATATATATATATATATATATATATATATATATATATATAGTTATTGCACTAGGTATTAAATATAAATAGGTTATTGCATAGGGTATTAAATAGGTATTTATAAGTTAATAATTTATATAAAAAGCTGTTAATTGAGAAATCAGTATTTGGACTTTTCATTTTACATGGCAGAATGATGAACTTCAAATTATTTAACAAAAAATATAACCTTTCTTCAACTAACAAACATTTCTTGAGGCCAAATCAAATAAATCAGTCTTAATTTCCTGCTGGTTACCCTATAGAACAATTCTATGACTGGTTTCAAGAGCGTTGATTTTATATTCTAAAAATGTTACAATACATGAGTTTTTCATGTTTTTGTTCATTTTTAGGTCCGATTTAAATCATCCTAAAACCTGCTGAAGATCATCTTACTTTAATCATGTTTAGATGAAGCTGATTATCCTGGAGAAAATGTCCTTCAGTTTTATTACCACATCAATGCGCTGCTGGTTCCTTTATACACCTCCTGAGGATATTTCATCAATAAGTCATCTCTTTTAACAGTTGGAGCATATTTGTAGCTGATAAAACAGCTTAGTTAGTCCCTATCATAGGAAGACAGCTTTATAGTAGCTGTGCAATGGTACTCTAAGAGGTTCTCTATGATCAAAGCAGCTCCCTTCAGTTCAAACAGCTTCTTTGAGCGGTTTGGTCTTTTTGAACGCAGCACATTAACCAAAGAAGCTAAGCCTGGGAAAACACTAGGTTTTTATTTTAAGTAAATAATCTAATTTCCACACACTCTATTCACATAGTTACAGAAAGCCACAGCCCTTTTAAAGCTGTAGGTTTCTTTTACAACATGATTGCATCTTTTGCAGCAGGAGTGTGAGCAGGGTGTGTTTCAAGAGGAGCCATGTTGTTTTATGTTAACCCAAAACAGGTGTTTTTACAAACCAGGATGGTCTCCCAGCTAGTCAGGTTAGTTGCTGCGCATCCGCCCACTGAATTTAGCTTGGGGCTGTGGTGACAGATGGGATGGAAATGAAGCCAGTACATTCCTGTTCAAGAACATTGGAAATGTGAGACTCATGCAAACAAGAAAAAAAAACATAAATAAAACATGTGAGCATCTGTAAATGAGCTTCAAACGGTAGACTTGAAATATAAAAAAGGTAAAAAGTACATCTTTCAGGACGCTTCACATCATTTATATGGAGAAGAAAAAAAAATTTAAATCTAAGATTTTGTTTTTCTGAAACTGAATATAATAAAACTAAGTAGATAAATATCGTCTCATGCAAGAAAAACCAAATACCCAATTAAGCCATGTTGCTTTTAAAGCTGACATCCTGTTTATACTGTTTGCATAAGGTGCTGCTAATTAAATGCATTGTAGAAATCATTAGCAGGATCTGTGACCTCCTGTACAAACGGACATTTTGCTTTTCTGCAATATTTAGTTGGAAAAGTAACACAGAGGTTGGGTTTTACAGACTCTGCTGCATATTTTAATGAGCTGATGGTTAATCTAACCATCTCCAGCAGATTAATTAGCCTAAAGAGCTTATCTATCTGCTTAGGCTCCTTTTCAGTCCATTTTACTCCAGTACAAAATTATGAGCCAACTTTGTCCTCAGTGTAGGAGGACTTTCAGTGTAGTCTGAACATTAAAAAAGTAATAATATTTCCTTTTTCCATCCTTATCAAGAATAGAAAAAATAGTGAAATCAAATTCCAAACTTTTCCAAACCTTTCCAGGGTACATTGGAACACAGAGAATGGGTTCATTCAACGAGGCACAGAATCTGACGTTTAAGATGTAATAAATGCAGATTATCAGTTAACTGTGGTAATAAAGACATGGTTAGCAACAGATTTTTTATTTTATTTTAAATGATGACATGCTTGAACAGTAAGAGGGAAAAAAGCCCAGATATAAGCATTTCTTTTTGGCCCTAATACCGGTACTAGGTTTTTATACATCGCATCAAACATATGTCAAATTGGATGTGTTATTATGCAAATATGTCCTAATGAAGCAAAATGCCTTAAGTTTAATTATGTCACATCAGCCCTGACATTGTCTCCTTTTTTTTTTCCAGAACAAGCATGGAGGTGCTGAGTGGCCCCTGGGCTGATCTGGCCCTTTTCCTGCGACAGACTGTCACAAACACAGACACAGACAGCTTTCTTCCTCTCTGGCTCTTTGGATTGTTTCTATTCCTGTCAGTCTGCCTACTGCTGCTGCAGCTAATTATCTTCTTCAGCTGGAAACTCAGACAAGGTGGGCACGATTTTAGCTTTTCATTTCAGGTTAGCCAGATTACTCACATTGTTATATTTATCATGAAGGAATGTAACTAAACAGGCAATGCAGCAGACTGCCCTCAGGTTCAGATAAACTTACTTTTATGTTTAAAAGGGGAGCAGTCGATGACAAGAATGAGCAGAAATGATTTGCTACCATCTAAACACTCACACACGCTGCAAACACCAGGCAAGGGATTGTTTATACCTCTAGATTTGTTGGGTTTGACACGACTACTCATATTGCCTGTGGCTACAGAGAAATATTTTTGTGGCCTGAGTAAGCTACATCCTGGCAAAAAAAAAAAAAAAAAGGGCAAAGATTGGATCCCGGGGAAATAATAACTTGGATGTCAGCAAAATGACATTTTGAGATTAATCTAAATGTACTCAGTTTAACCGCGTGACTGAGATAACTACACATCTGTGATGCAGGAGGGTTAATTTTATATATCTGAGCCAATCAGAGTAAAGGATGAGAGAGAGGAGCTGAAGGTGTTTAAAAATCCCTAAGGTTAGTTTTCTTTTGTTTTCTGCTGAATTAACCTGTGCCCCTTTATTCTCTAAGCTGACATAAAAAAGTCGGATGCATCCAATCAGACACATCCTATAAATAAACCAATATGTCAGCCTTGAACTTCTGATCCTGCTTTTCAGGGTTTTATGGAAAACATGGTCAGTTATATAAGCAGATATTATCATAACTAAAAATGAGGAAAAAATATTCTTTTTTAAAGATTTCTAGATTAAACCAGCTAGAATCAGCCAATACATTAGCCATTATTAGAAATAAATCTCATCTGCTGTTTAAGCGGGAAGCATTTATAATCAGTTATGGCTGCTCAATCCTTGTTTATAGGCATTCAGTGATAATTAAATGTGGCTGTCATGTCGCATTTTATTATTAGCTAAACATCCACTCATTTGTGCTTTAAATAAAGTTTATTTTGTGCTTCATATGATCAGATAAGCTATAAATATAGAAATGTACACACAGGTTGGCTATCTTTTTGGTAAAGCAGAGGCACTAGTAAACTGTGCCATGAAGAGGTGCAAAATTTAATTTACATTTGATAAAAAAATATTTCTTTTCTACAGTAGGGCCCAGTCTAGATAACAGCCCCATGGGTCAAAAAAGGAATCAAGCTGTAGGCTTCCCCAAATGCAGCCATGCTGAGAGACATGATAAAAAAGTAGCAAAACACCACCTGGACCTTTTCCATTTATGAAAAGTCAGAATAACAAAAGAAAAAAAACAGCACACAATTTCTTCCTGCTGACACAAGCAGATTTGGTTAAAAAATGTTATTCTGTGAAAATCACATTCAGATGTTGATAGAGTATTTACCAATTTCAAATCGAAAATTTCAACAAAAGTAGTACGAAGAATTAGAAATCAAAAGGAAAAAAAAAATTGGAAATCAACACAGAAAACATGGAGGAGTCTTAATGAATGCTTATGACTGCTGTCATTTCAATCTGAAAAACTCACACGAAGAGAAAAGACGATTAGAAGAAGAGTATTGATACAATAACTTTGTCTTTGGCGCTCAGACCTCGGCAGGAAACATAGCACTGAATTTTGATAGATGTGCTTGAACAGAGCAAAGAATAGGGTTGTCCCCCTACACAATGTGTAAATTATTAACTAAAAGAATGTTCTTTGTCCCACCAGTAATAGATTTAATTCTAGTCATAACCGCCCAAACAAGACCAGCAAAAGTGATTTTTGTTTAAGTCATGATGATGAGCAGTATTCTTAAAAGCCTAGTGCTACAAAGCATTGGGCAAATACCTTCTTGTACTTTTTGCACTCTCTTTATAATCATTTCTAACCTCTTAATTGTGGTTTTCTTTTCCCCAGCTGAGGCGGATCTGTCCCAGTTTGAGCCGAACCAAAGTGCCATCCACAGGCAGAGGCACAGAAATGCCAGCCTGACCAAGAGAAGTTCTGGATTACTTCCTGATACCTGACAGGGATTAATTAAACTGATGGACAAATCTCTAACATACAGCTGGGTGGACGGATCTGGAAATATTAAGGGACACTCTGATCTCCTGGCACCTAAAAAAAAATTAAATGAGAAGCTTTTGTTTTTAGAAATACCAGGCAACCTCTAATAATAATAATTTAAAAAATGAGCAGTATACGTTGCACGGGGTTCCATGTTCTCATCTTTCATACATCAGCTTCCTTCATTTGCATCTGATTATTAATAAAATAAATGCATGGAAAACAAACACACGTTTGTAGAGTATAACAATCGTTTATTTGAACAGTGTTACACAGGGGCAAGAAGTGACTGCATGTGGAAACAACACGATTATGCAGCTAGACAAAATGACCTACCAGTGATGTAAACAGGAAGCAAGAGGTGGCTGGTTCATTTCTCCAAAATGGGCTTCTTTAGAAAAGTGTTTTAGATATTTGCTTGTTTTTTTCCTTCTGGCGAGGCAGATATAAAATTGTGCTATCATTGTAAATAAAGCCTGAGATTTAAGCGTGAAGAATACAGAGTTTTAAATATACTGTTAAAATCCATTAAAATGTCTTTTTTAAAATCAAAATGAAAAGTAGAATGAATATTTTATTAAAGCTGCAAACATTTTGGAAAAGTTAACCTGACAGCCCCAAAGCTCCTGTGATTGGTTGAAAGAGCCCAGAACCCCAAACAGGAAAGAGGTGGTAAAAAAACAAAACAGACATTGATCTTTAGTGGGTTTTCTTCATCGTCAACGACATACACAGTGGCAATAATACAAATAATCAGGAAGGTGGAGCAACAGATCCCACCGTCCCAGTTGAAAAAACTGTGAAAGACTCTACAAATACAGCTGATGCGGCAATATGGATTCATTTAATGAGATTAAATTAACAGCTTCCGAAGCTGCCAGAAGATTTTTATTCTTTTTTTTATATTTTTTTGTTTGTTTTACAAGAGGAATAGAAGTTAAAACTCCTCCCCCACATGGAATGTCTTTTAGCTGCATAGTAGAAGTAGGACCTGTGTTTAGAAAGCCTTGTCTTCACTAGACCGGCTTTACTTTCCAGACTGGATCATTATGGAAAACCTGTGCTATTTCAAATTAAAATAATTTCAATAAAGTTATGTGGAATGTGCGATTTTTTTTTATTTTATGAATCCATTTAAAAACATAAAAACATGTATTTTCTTTAAGCTTCTAACAGTAGAAAAGGAGTGATTTGGTGAAATTCTGCAACATGTAAATGCATAATGATCTACGCAGAGGTAGGGCACTAAGATGCTTACCTTTAAGCTGTTTTACCTCTCTAGCATTTTATGCAGCAATAATCTTTTAGAAAAACACATCTGAATAGAGCAGAAACTGTTGCACTAAAACAGCTACAACAAATCCGCTGTTAAAGTTAGATGATTAGAGCTGGGCTTTTAATCTTCTACCTAAAGTAGTCAACACAGCAGCAGCATCCTACCCTAGACTGGCAGATAAAAAGCGTGAAGCATGCTGAATTTAATCGTATCGTCTTAACGGTTGCTGCACATAGTGGGATGTGAGAAGCAGCTGGGATTAAGTGGAGAAGGACTACGACTAGAAACAGATTAGCAGTAAAAGTGAGCGCATAGAAGTTATTAATCTGAGTCTGGGACAGAATGAGCTTCAAGTTGCTTCATTTTGGTACCTTTGCTGCTCCCTAGCGTGAACCTCATTGTGAATGATTTAGTTGAAATGTAATCATGCATAAAGGTATTATGCTCAGAAAACACGGCAGATATGTGCTGGAACATGCACAGAGTAAGGCTAACTTGTATCAGTGCTCCAATTGGTTTTTATTCACGAGGTATTTGTTGGCTCTCTCCCAATTGTCATCCAGTTTACCAGGCGTCTCTCCCAATAAAATATCAGTTAAATCTCCCATGTTGCCCTGGGGCCCAATAGGAATAGTTAGTGTTGACGAAGGAGGAGACCCAAGGAGTCGCCAAGTTACTAGAAAGCTGCTCTTATTATTGTCATCTTCATTTTTTTTTCCTTTTTTAGTTTCGTACAAGAGATGTATCAACCCGCATCTAAGTCTGTTTATTTTCAGTTCAAATTCATCTTCAGCGTAAAGGAAAAATAATAATTAAAAAAAAGATTGCAAAATTTATCCCAATCTGTTTTTGTAGTTTAGGTAGTTTTACATTTCATTTATCGTCATCAAACGTGAGTAAAAAAAAAAGAAGAAAAGTAAGCTGAACTGAAGATGAATTGACTCATCAGCTGGTAACAAGAGGAATGTGGATGAATAGCTACATTTACAACAAAAACAAAAACTAAATCAAATCCAAAACCCTGGATGATTTACTGCCATATGCAGCTCACAGCTCCCTCCCTTTAGTAGTTAATAAAAAGAAAGTTTTATATTTTTTTATGTGAAATAGCTTTAGTCTACTGAGTGCTTAACATGTAAAAAACCAAAGAAAGAACAGGTTTGTTTCTCTCTTCTTCAAACCAGATTCATGAGTTACTTTTATTTGCATTTACGCTGATTCTTTAAGGGGGAAATGGGATCTGTAGTTTAATAAAAAGCTAATTTTTAAAGGAATCCATTAAAAAATCGTCATTTTCTATCAAAATAATCTGGATGAAGGTTATTTCAATCTGAAGTTATTCACTTTGTTTTACCTTAATGAAATTTACAGATATTATAATAGAGACAGATTCATGACCCTCATGTGTTGGTTCGATATCTGCAACACATGACAGACACTATATTCTCTCGCTTATTGCAAAACAGGTAAAGCTACAGCTCCGATATAAAATAATAGAAGGTAAAAATGTTAAGCTAACAAAGTGGTTCTTTTTGTTCCTGCAGAGAGTGAGGATATTTTTTCTCCTTTAGCAATAAGGGGTTGAAATGCACCAAAACAAATGTCTTAAAGACCATCCAGAATGAGAGCGGCATCCTCTGCCCCCCTCGGCTGAAACTCCTCCTTCTCACTCCCTTTGGCAGTCCAGGTTGGTCGTTGTAGAGCGATGAAGATGATGTTGGAAGAAGGAAGAGTCACTGCTGGTCTTTCAGTTCTGTAAGGCAGATTGAGGACAATCAGCCTGCAGCTCTGTGGTGGTCAGATAAATACCGGATCTTTTCTTCGAACACACACAGATCTCCTCTGTCATTCCACCTTAACTTACTAAGCACTGGTAAAAAAAAAAAACTGTAAAAAGTGCTTTTATTGCAGCAGCAGAAGCTCTGGCTGCCTTCATAGTCACATTTTAACTCTAAATGGAAGGAAAAAATGTCCACTTTTCGGGAAACAGAAAATGTTTCAAACCTAAAATAAAATAAATATCAATTACTATATGCATATTTAGTCAACATAATTCTACATAATAAATAGAGGCCATTAACATACCAACTGCTTTGTAGATATTCTTCTAAAAACAAACACAAATCCATTAAAATCAGCGTATTTCACTTAAGCAGCTAAGTAACATTAAATGCCATTGGAATAAACATTATAGCCAATTAAATAAGATAAATAAATGGATATATATATATATAAATGCATTTGAAATAAGTTCTCAGAGATGTTTTTAAGATTAATAATCAAATTCATCAGAAGACAGTTTCACTTACACAAATAAAGTGTATATATATATATATATATATATATATATATATATATATATATATATATATATATATATATATATATATATATATACCGGTATATTAATTTGAAGACATTTTTACTCACATTCACACATAGAATTGTAAATATTATTGGTTGTATATACTGAGATCCTTATTTTATTTTTATCCTTATCTTTTTTTATACCAATATATTTTGTAAACTGTTTATATGGGAATGGTGTAATTTTACTTATTTTTTTTAACTTATTTTAATTCTATCCTATTATATTATATTTCATTTTGCTCTATTTGTACTCCTGTTAACAGAAAATAATTTCCTGCAAGGGTATAAAGTAATTCTGATTCTGATTTAATTTAGTTTTTGCACTGTGGTTACTTTAGGAAGCCTTTCCTGATGTTTTCTCTTCTTATTCTGAAGTAGTTGTTTCCAAACTCCCCATCAGAAAAATGAAAAGACTTGATGGCTCACATGGTGCTGTAAATATGTATTTGTGAACATGGCTCTTTAGTGTTTGAGGATACTATAAATGGAGAGAAACATGCTGTTGTTGGCAAGGATTGCTGATACTAGTTAGCACCGCTACAAATAGAAAATCTCACTTTTGTCAGTATGGCAATTAGAAGATTCACAGCTCAGGTGGGAAGTTAGTTCCAGAATTTTAAAAAAAAAATATATATATATATCAATAATAGATGAAAATTTGAGCTTTGAGTCTTTAATTCACAACAAAAAATATCTATAAAATGTTCTGGATCCCCTTGGTCTGTGGAAATAGTTCAGATAGAAATAGACAAAGCTGATTGAATAAATAGACAGAAATTAAAGGCTAGATTTGTTTAAATAAAAATTATGTTATTGCAATAAAATATATAATTACTTTATGAAACCTCCTCTGGATCATAAAATGTTTCTAGAATTATGAAGGATATAATATGCTGTAATTCTTACTATTGTTACCTGAGTTCAGTCAATCCTCCTCCTCAGCCAGTTCAGTTTCTTTATGAACAACCACTCTGGTAACAGACATGTCAGGATGTTGCTCTTTGGCCTCCCTAATGGCCTGTGCCAATGCCTGCAGTACCCAAGGGCAGCCACATAGTGGCAACATCAAGCACAGCAGGCAGAGGAAGGGAAGGAGGGCAAAATGATGGGATTAAATAAAGAAAATAAATTAAATAAGAAGCATAAAGAAACATCATATGATGGCATGATGCAAAATTCAGTCACCATTTTACTCTCTTGGGTTGATAGATTGGTAAATAAAAAGACCGGTAGAGTAAATGGGTTTAGATTAGGAAATTATTCCAAGTGGAATAAAATTCCTAAAATGTAGCTAAACAGAATACAGACATGCAATTTAAATAAAGAATGGAAGGAGAGTCGTGCAAGTTTTTAATCCAAATCCATTTGAACTAAATCAATTCAGAATAAAAGCCACAAAATATCTGACATTTAAAGGAAAAGATGGCAAATAATAATAATAAAAAAGTAAAAATCTCAAGATCATTCAGGCATAAAGAAAAACATCCAACAAGGCAACATTTCTTTGGATGCAGAAATGAAGGGTGAAGAAAATAAAAAGAGCATTCTTGCTGCCAGCAACGTGATGGACATGTCACCAGAAATCTATTTACCAGTTGTTTTTTTTCATCCTAAAGGGACTGGTTGAGTAAACCTTAAAAGCCTGACACAGTTTCAACTGAACACATCTAAACCAACAACCTAAGAGTTTCCTTACATGGTTAACTCACCCTGAGATGAAGCTAAAACCTTAGAGACAAGCTGAGGGGCTTAAAAACCCACCTGATCGTGGTCAATGTCGCAGTCGCCTGTGATCACAATGCGCTTCTCGATCCTCGTTTCTGAGAGCCCACCCTTTAATGTCTGGAACAAAACGCAGGACAGGCCTTTGATGACTCACATTTGGAGATTTGCAATGGTGAGAAACAGCTGGGATGAAAGTCACAAACCAAGCAGGCTGTTTTGTTTTACTCCAGGGTTAAAATAAAACCCTTTTATTATGATAAAAAAAAAGCATCTGCACCAAATTCAGTTAGCTAAAAGGTCCAATTCAGGCTTAAAACAACAACAACTATTTATTATTCTTAATAAATATGAATTCCTAAATAAGAAATGAGTAAATTTTACAGGTGAGCATTTCGATTTTAACAGACGAGGGTCGCAGGTTAAATGTTCAGCTATAAAGGCATATCTGTATCAGTATGACTTTAACTTCCCACCCATACCTTTATACGTGGGAAAAATATTTATTTATATTTCAAATTAAGAAATTTTTAATAAAAAAAGATGCTTGAATTTAAAACACAACTAAAAGAAATTCTAAGTAAATGTATGTATGTATGATAATAATACTGGGTCCCTTCTCATACCTTGGTGATGTGTGTGGTTGTGGTGGTACACAAAGACTCGGATGTGATCGTCTGAGCGGTCATCAACACTCCAGGTTCACCATCACCATTACCATCCAGCTAAGTGAGAGAGGAAAAATTAGACTATTGTCGCCACATCAGCAAATTCCCAAACTGATCTCCAAACTCCAAGGCTGTGTCTGGATGAAGCCACGCCCAGCTGCTAGAAAGGAAGCACTTTGTAAAACGGCTAATAAGCAAAATTACAAACATCTTCCATAAAAATGCTAACAAACACAAGAAGAAGAAGAAAAAAACTCCCTGTGCTAAGAGTGCACCTGAGCGGCCTCGTATGTGATGGTCTTGGTTTCCGTGTGCACGATGGGCACCTCTTTAGTTGCTATCTCAGTTTTCTGGGCAGCAAACGTGTCTGATATAGTCACCATTTCTGTTTTTACCACAGGCGGCTGAGGAGGGAGGAGAGACAGGAAGGAGCGAGGGAGAAGGACAAGTGGTTAACAGGCTGAAATCTGAGACCGCTCTGGAATCAAACACATTAAGGAACTCTTTGGCATCACAATTACTTCCAAGGCTATAAAGTAAAGAAATGCTTCAAAGACATCGGTGCTTAAAAACAGTGATGTAGTTTAAGTTTTAATATGCAAAAATATTGGTCCCATTCAAGCCATGATTTTATGTGATAGACAAACACAAAGTAGTTCATAAATACTAAGAGGAAAATGATCCAGAGCTTAAAAATCTGAAAAGTGTGGCATGCTTTTGTATTTATCCAACTTTACTCTGATACTTTATCACCTAATTAGTGAAAAAGCTGTTCAGGGAGTTAGCAAACATGTCATATAGACCAAGACTTTAAAGATCAAAGTTACAACCTTTTTTCATAAAAAAATGCTGGAGTCAGACATGTTTGAATTCATGAGAAGGTAATGAGATGGATGTGCTCGACTCTGTGGACATAGTTTTGAAACTCATTCAAAGACGGCTTCTTTCTAAGAATCATCTTCTGCATCTAATCTACTTCGCTGGCTGAACTTGATCAGGATGCTAGACGGAGATACATAGTTATAAAAGGCCGCATGAAGATTGTGGAGCTGTTGTCCACTTCTCGGTAATCTGTGCTTTCACATATCAGCATTTAAATTTCCAACAACACAGAGAAAAGTAGGTTATTTGTCTCTATATGAATAAAAGTAACTAAAATGGTTTGAAAAGTTGCTAAATGTAAGGACAACGTAGCTCAGTTGGCAACAGTCCCTGTGGGTTCATTGGCTGATAACAGACGTGCCAAGAGATCAAAGCACAAAGAGAATAAATAACTGCAGTTAAACTAAATAATTGAAATCAGGTCAAATTAGATCAAAACACATTTAACATATGTATTTTTATGTATTTTTTCCATTAATTTTAGAGTTTCAATATGTCATTTTTATTTAAAATCACCTTGGGTGTGCCCACCACCAGGGGACGCACACACACCTCTATTTGTAAGCAAGTATACAAATATATATATATATACCAATACCAATGATTATTCATTCTGAATACAAATGCATGCTGCACTTTTCATATTTAAATGTTTCTTCTAAAACTGAATAAAACGTGTTCATTTATTTCTCTGACATAAAACACAAATAAATGCCACTGAATTTCAGGCTTTGAATATTTTCACATGGCACTGTGCATACTGTGTGAATGGCAGAGGGTGCAGATATATAAACAAAACAAACAGAAGCAATAAAATTCATGCAGATATGCGGGAGCTCTTAAACCCATGCGAACATCATGCAAGGAAATGCAAAACACAATCTAAAAGCTAGAGCAGCATCCCCAACACAGAACTTTCCGATGCATCAAACATGCAACTCCAAATATGAGACGGCACCAACATGCATAAAACATGAGCCAATAAAACCAGCAGGACTCTAATGGCTGGAAAAACAAAGCAGCTATTGAAATGTAAACAAGGCGACATTCAGATGAGTGGGTGGCATTTCCAAAGTGCTTGGCAATGACGATTTCTACAAATAAGAGGAGCAGCATCACTGCCAAACAGAATTAAAGGACACATAAACACATCTCATAAAGGTGAAAACCAGCATGCAAAATCAAAACACGCACACCTAAAAGCATCTTGCATCTCCCACTTAGGCCCCATTTACTTCACAACACAATTTAGGAGGAAACAAAACAGTGGCGCACCACAGAATGGCACTACCTATGAGGAGGATGGTATGAAATATGGAAAAGACGTGAGTCATTATGAATTGGTAAAATAGATTCATGAGGAATTAGACAAAACAGAGTGTCTGTAAACTGAGGTTTTCAGACACGTTCCTAACATCACCAAAGGTCCTTATAAGGCTTTAACTTTCACAGACAGATGAGTGTGAGAATGTACATGGGGCTTAAATTTTCACACAAGCAGGAAAAGGAAAGCTGGCAGAATGAGAAGCAGCAGGGAAAGAAGTGGGCGTTTCTACGGCTGGCAGGAAGGTTCAAACCCCGGAGAAGCTCTGCAGCTGGCTTTACCTCAGAGCAACATATAACCTGCGGCCGGGGATCCACTTCAACCAGCGAGGCTTCTCCGTTCATTTTAGGCTGCTCCTGTTCCTCTGTGGGATCGGCCATCTTGGTCTCCTCAGCATGGATGAGGCCATCTGGAGATTCTTCAGGTGTCACCATTGGATCATCCGTACTTTCCTCAGTCTCTCGTCCACTTTCTTTCTCCTCTTTCTCATCTGTCTTCTCTACATTTGTCTCCTCTTTCTCATCTTTCCTCTCTACCATGGTCTCCTCTTTAATGGACTCTTCTTCTTGATTGGTTTCTTCTGTGGGCTGGGTGACCTCTACAGCAAGAGATGGAACAACTGCAGCAGACACTTGCTGCTCCTCATCCTTCTTTATCTGCTCTTCTTCCTCTTCCTCCTCCTTCTCTTCTGGTATTTTAGTTTGACAGATGGATGCTGGAACATGAGCATGGTACTCTGCTTCCTCCTCACTCTGGCTCTCAGAAGAAGCCCCCTCTGGCTTCGTGGGCGCTACTTCCTCCACTGCAGTCGCTTCCTCTTCAACCTTCTCTTTCTGGTCCTGAGGTTCATCTTCGGCAGGGGGGATGACAGGAGAGTCGACCGTAATGGTCACAGCCCCGGATTTGGCTGCTCTGGAAACTTCTTGGATGACAATAGTTTCCTCGATTTCAACTTCGTGGGTCTACACACATGTACACAGAGTGCACAGGCACACACCATACGATGCACATAGAAGCAAAAAAAATGACACAAAAACAAAATATGATCATTGAACAAAAATGAAAAAAATAAAAAAAAAGAACATAACTGAGTTAACTGTGAAACATAAGGGAAAAATTAGATGATTCATTAAATGTTTCTGCAGGGTTTCCACACATTTTCCATGGAAGCTTTCCAGACTTTTTTATATTTGAACTTTCCAGAATTCACAACCTTTTAACTTAATGTAAAATATGAAATACTAAAGATGGTTATTCTAATACTACTAGAATATATGAGGAAGGAAGGAAGGAAGGAAGGAAGGAAGGAAGGAAGGAAGGAAGGAAGGAAGGAAGGAAGGAAGGAAGGAAGGAAGGAAGGAAGGAAGGAAGGAAGGAAGGAAGGAAGGAAGGAAGGAAGGAAGGAAGATTAAAAAGAAGAAATAACAGAGTAATAACATAAATAATTCTGGAAATAATTTTTTTTTTTTTTCAAATCCATACTTTCTGTGTAGGAACCCCGTTACTGGGTCGACTTAAAAAAGGGCAGTGGAAACAGAGCAGCTGAGACCAAATGAAGGCATGAAGGAGGCGACAGTCATGAATGGAGGGATGGAGGATCACAGACAATGTTAGTACCACCTTTGCAGGTTCTTTGGTATCAGAGCTGGGGTTATCAGCTGGAGAGGCTTCTGTTTGGGGAACACTGACCTGCATGACAGAGAAGTTAGGAGAACAACATCAATGAAGCACCAACAGTGAAATCATTGTTAGCAGCTAGAAACACTGGGATGCTTGTTAGCACAGCATGGGGAGGGAGGCTGCCTTTGTCATTTGCTCTTCCACTTCTTTTCCTTTCTCCCTGCAGCCTGCTGTTCTGCTCAGACACAAACTCGCTACACAGGAAGAACACAGCGGGCAGAGGGTCAAAATGAAACTAGAAATATTTGCTTACAAAAATAAGACAAAACAGAAAAAAATGCTACCGAAGAGTATTGTCCCCATACATGGAAATATGAAAGTGAAAACACATAATTTCATCTTAGCCTGGGTGAAATTATGTGCCTCAGTATCTGCTGCCTCCAACAGACTGAGGATGCAGATCTGGCACACTGTAGAAGATATGCAATCATTCAAAGCCAGAAGTGACAAACCCATGCAATGAACAGCTGTTAGTCAATTTAAATCAAATTAATTCTGAAAATAGATCATCAACAAGTGGCTGAGCATTAAATGTTCCCAGAAACAAAATGAATTCATGCAACACCAACAGAAGGCTTCTAAACACATCTGTCTATCATCCTTTATTTACTAAAATATTAAAAGATGTCAGTTTACTTTGAAACAGGCCAACTGGCAGCAGCAAAGAAAACAAGGTGAATCAGAAATTAACGGTTGTTCTAGAGATGTCCCAAGTATCAGCTCAATTTTATTAATGATCCACTGAGCTAAAACTCAACCCCTAATAGTCCCATTAATTCATTCTGAGGTTTCTTCAAACAGTTTAATGCTTTCCACCCTTTTCAATGACACTTGCAGCATGGAGAAGCCTGTACTGTATGCTGCAGTATAAGTGGGAGAGAAAACATCTAAAAAAAAAAAAATCACAGCAAAAGGCTAAGTTAAAGAAGCAGGATAGAAAAAGCTGAATCATATATATAAATATATAATATATAAAGTGAGTCAGATAACAAATTATCATCTGAAAGACAAATAATCCCACAGAATAAGAAAAAATATCCCAATACTGATATCTATGTATCATTTTTATTAATATAGACCTGATTTTTGATTGAATTAACCTTTTTTTATTTAACAGTGTAAAATCAATAGATATACATAATTTTATAAACTGGGTAGGACTGTGTAAGAGGGGTTAAACAGGGACATCGCTAGTTTTTAGGGTTATATAAGGTAAACTGACTCCTTAATGTTTAGTATTAGCAGAAGCACCTCAGTGGCAGAAAGTGCAGAGACAGGATGAGACAAAGACGAAGTGCAGACAGCAGTGGGAGCAGCAGCTGAGCATGTGGTCACAGCGCCTTCTAGTGTTGATTCAGTAGCACTGCAGGGAGGCCGAGTGGATGAACAGCACTCGGCAGCAGAGCGTCTGCTGAGAAGCACTGAAGCTATTTCGTCTTCAAGGCTCTACAGCAGAGAAAACGCAGACAAAACAGGCAGTAAAAGCATTTACTGAAGAACAAACATCCCTTCTGAATCGTAAAGCAACAGTTTCTCAGCAACTACAAGTAAAAAGTGTTTTAGTAGAGCAGAGTAAAAATGGAGTGAGAGTAAAACTCAGGTGCTGTGAGAAATAAAACCAAACATTAGTCCAGATATCAAAAGACAAAAATTTAAAGGATAATGAAGCGTTGGAAAAAATGTCAGGAAATAAACCAATAAACAGCAAGAAGGAAAGAAAAAAAACATTCAACCATCAAATGCAACAGAAGTTCCACCTTCACATAGAAGCACCTTAGTTTGCTTCGGCTAAAAAACACCCCAGCAATCATCAGCAGTCGAGATGAAAACATCCAGATGGACGTACCAACTGTTGCTGCTGGACACGTATCGTGGTGGCAGGAGAGGAGGTGAGACGTTTCTCCCACTGGTTGGGCTGAGGAGGAGAGGGAGGTGGTGCCTCCATAAAGGAGCGCTTGAGCTGGCTAATGCTAGCCTGGTGTTTCAGAACCTCGTCTTGGGTCTTATCGAGGTCCTGATGGGGGACGGGAGAGGATACGGGGAATGAGGGATGTGGGTGGAAGTAAATCAATTAAGAAAGGTGACAGGGATGAAAGGGAGCAGAGAGGAGGATGGGAGGAAATCAAAGGAGGGGGGATTAGGGCAGACAAGGATGGTTTTCAATAGAGTGTGTTCAGAGCAGAAGAAAATGGAGTTTCAGTGGAAGTATGGAGAGATTATGAGTCAGAAAAGTGATGAAAAAAAGAGGAAGATGGAGGGAAAAGATAAAAGGAGAAGAAACGAGGGAAAAAGATCGTTTATAGACATATTAGTCTGTCAACTCAAAGAGTGACAAGATGGAGGGCAGATTTCACTGAAGCTGTTTCTGTTGTTAAAAATGAGCTCAAAACTCTAAATAAACAACCTGACTTCAGTGAAACAGCCTTCCAACTCATCGAAGTTTTCATAAATAGTCATAAACAGGATGGCTGAATGTACAACATGGAGCTGATAGTATTACCTCTTTCTGCCATTTACTTTGACTTAGTAAACACGTCTGCTTCACCTCCCTTTGTATTTGGAGATTTTTTTTTCCTGCCTTAACTCTATTTTACTTTACATTTCTATGTGCAGTACTGTTGAAACATACTTTTTACATTTCGTTTTCGTCATTAAAAGTGTTCAGATGAAAATAATGTTAAAATGTAATCAGCGTTTACTGAGGAAAAAACTAAGCCTATAAACTGCTTGTGAGGGAAAACTCTCATCAAATCTTTGCACCAAGTTTTAAGCATCTGGAGGGATTTGGTCAATTTAGTCACATTCTGTGAATTGCTAAGCATGGATGGCTAATTTAAGGAAGTGATTTTATGCTGAGCTTTGACTAGGCTACTCCAAAACACTTACTGTTTCTGTTTTTTAGCGATTAGAAAGGACTGACTGGTGTAATTTGGATTACTGATCTGTTCAAAGACGACTTTATGTTGGAGTCAAACATTCAGAGAGCCGTTCTGGAGAACAGAACTCATGGCTCCATCATTAAAAGTGCTTTCCTCCAGCTTTCAAAGCAGACCATCACAGCATCAACACTGTGTTTAACTTTTAGAAAGGTATTATTTTTTATATATATTTTTTAAAAACCTTCTTACTTAAGTAAATAAAATTATCTTTTAAAAACTATATTTTGCATCAGACTCAGACTCCTTTTTTTCCTGTTTTAAAATGTGTTAAATGAACAATGCTAAAACATTTAGGAAACCAGAATTAACTTGGAAAAAATAAAAAAATATTTTTCTTATAGGTGAGTTACTAAATATTTATTTTTTTCATTCCTTCAAGCTGATGAAAATAAAGCACATTGCATGAGAGAAGACATCTAAAATAAATACCAACTTAAAATTACATTTGATAGAAAATTTTGCAAACCTAATAAACCTTTGATCAACTATTTTACATCTGAATCTCAGCTTGTTCAATAAAGCTGTATCCAGTTAAAAACCCTGATCTCTAATAGATCCGTTTGATGTTCTGCCATCCGTAGGAAATCGGTCAGTAGTTTAAAAGCAAAACCTAAAGTTTGTCTTATTTCCCCACTCTTTGAAACCAGGAAAAATATTTCCGATTTTACCCATCTAACCCTTTAAACTATCTAAATACCTAATTAGTACAATGGCAGAAGATCACTATCAGCCCCAATTTGAACAAACAGGTGTTTTGGGTTCGGTATAGCCAATCACAGGAATGAAGCTCCTTGGACAGAGGCAGGGGTTAGTGGGGTTAGATGGAGCTGCCTGGCAATAATCAAACTGACCAATCAAGGACAAAACAAGATAAAAACAGCCACACAAGCATGCACAGAGCATGCATTATAGTGGCGTCAATACACCACAGATCCTATTCACAAAGCAGCCATTGTGAACGCTCCGGCCTGGGAAATCGTTTCTAGATGAGCAAGTGTCTTCTGTGCTTTTGTGTTAAAGCACATCAAATAAATAGTTTGCATTTCACACATTCAGCCTGAAGAAACCTCCAAATTCTTTACTAGCAGAATGGCTGCAACACTTTAAGATGGAGATTCATGATTCAATCACTTTAAGTTAAAGTAGCTAAAGAAGCAGTTGATCAAAATAGCTGCTGTGCAAATCAGGACGATTAGCAATGAACATTCTTTAAAGTTTGTCAACCAGACGAGATTGGCTGAAAATCTGCAGGTAGCTGAAACTGAGAGAAAACTTTCACACGCCGGCATGCACACAGAGCCTGAGAGTGCGAGAGGGCAGCGGCCTCCTGGGTTTGTAGCTCTGAAGGCGTTAGAAAGAGTAGAAACATGGAGATCTGATTTTCATCCATCAGTCGACGCCAGTACCAACCTCCAACATTAAATTACTGTGCCTCACATAAATATTGTCCCCATGCACTCTCAATGGGCTCTGGAAGGCAGACATACAGCACAGAATGCAGAAAATAGAGGAAAAAATTACTCAAATGTGTAAAGAAAATTATATAAATCAAACAATTTTAATGTAATATTTCTAAATAAAACATGGGTGCAGGAACAACCAAACATTTTGGTTTTTCTGACGCTCTGGGTGCTGCTGCTCCTGGAACCCATGCCTCCATCTTATTTAGAAACACCACACCACCGACAGGCATGCAGAGAAACCAACAAACCCCCTACACATGTTTTCAACAATCCCAAAATGATGCAACGAACCACAGGCATGAAGCAATACCCCAAAACACAACCTGTGAAACTGACAGCCACAGCAGTACATCTGAAAGTGAAAATAATGGATGAAAAGGCCCATTCTTGATCAGCTTTTACAAACCCAGACCTTTGATTGAGTTTCTATCTTCTACAGAAGTGATAGGATCTGATCTGATCGGGCAACTTCAACCATTAAACCAACGAAGGCGAGCAGAGATGATGATTGACAGATCAATACACAATCAAGTCATCAATAACAGTGTTATAAACCTGAGAGGGGGCGGGCTCTGCACATCCAGGTGACTGTTGCTGGAGTATTCAGGGAGAAAGTGAGGACATGTTAGGATTACTGTCTTTCTACTCCTTTCCACTCACTTTAAACCATCTTAAGATCCAGCTTAGATTTGAGTTTAGATTAAATCAGACCTGGGACGGCATGGCTTCCACTTCAGCTTGGTTCAAGTTCACCTCCTTAGCCTTCAGTGTGGCAGACATGGGAGGTGGAGGTCAAAATGTAGGGGGGAGATGGGGGGAAGAAAACGGTGAAATGGATGATGGGAAAAGCTTATTGCCTTGTATTAGGGAACACTCCTGCGTGTTTGTGTGAAACTGTATGTATGACGTTGATAAGGTGTTATTCTATATAGAAGAACCAAATATGAGGATTTAACATCTTTATTTGTTTTTAATTTATTGTACAACAAAATAAAAACCAAGTGCAAAGATTTGTATCGACTAGAAAGAAGCTGAAATTTGCTTTACTTTAACCTCTGTGAGTTTTTTTTAATAATAAAAATGAAATATTGTCAATGGCTTTTATAGCAAGCTAGCAGGTATGTAGCGATAGGCTTAAAAGGTTACACACGTTAAACACATTATATAGAAAATGTTAAAACTGTCTTTAAACCATTCCTACACTGTTTAGCCTGATAGCAGAGGTTTTCTTTAACTGGGGTATAAAATGAAGCAGCACTACGTCTTTCCAGCATTTAGCTATCTACTGCCCGTTAGCCATTGTTACCAAAAAAAGCTATAAAACATTTTCCTCGCCCACAAGAAAAAACTTCTTGATTCTTTTTAAACATTTTTAAAAAGAGTCAATAGTGTAAAAAGTAAAGCTGCTGTCAGATGATTTTCTATTGAGAAATAAAGGTTAGAAAATTAAGGGTTTTTTTTCTTCTTTTTTACAGACCAAGAAATATCATATTGAGATATTTGCATCACCCGTTTTGGAAAGTATATGTATACAGTGATTGCTCTACTAATGGATCAACTGAATGAGATTTTAATGGCAGATAGGCGCACAATATTAAATAATGATAATGTAGAAGTCCAAAATATTTGGCTTATTTTGTGATCAAATGGTGTTTGCTATAAAATCTAATGTTATGTTAACACAGTTCAGTTTAAAAACATTGAAATAAATGGCAGATATAAAGTAACGGGAACATTTTTTTCTTATTTTTCTCAAACAAAAACAAAATATTCCCAACAAGCAAATTTTGTCGATGAAAATGAAGCTAATTATAGAAACATATTTTTAACAATTTCTTTATAAAATCTTTGCGCTCATCTCTAACACAATTTTCCAGCTACAATATATGGCAATGGTCTATAAGACTATTCTTTTTATTTAAAGGTGAGGCTGCTTAAACTAATTATCATGCTAAGTGTATGAGTTTTAACAATTTTAGCCAAGTTGACTTTTCTCACCCGGATTTTTTCCTCTGAAAACAAGATTTCTTAAGATAATTAAGATAATATCACTAATTGCACTTTTTTCTATAGCTTAGTAACCCCTTTTAAAACTACAGCTGGCAATTTACGATGAACGGGGTGTTTGTAAAGCAGCAGAGTGCAGGCTAGCTGCACTAGCTAACAGAGAGGAAAGCATGCACAATAAACGTTTTTAAACTGTTGGTCTATTGCATATACATACATACATATATACTGTCTATATAACAAAATCAACAGGAAAATTAAGGTCTTTTATAAAATTATGACTCTTAATCAGTATGGTAAATAATTTAACCAGCAGGATAAATATTTGCATTTGCTTTTCTGCTCCATCTAATCGATCTTATCAAACCATACAGTGATAATCTCCTACCAGCCCATTCCTATATTTATATAAATGTGTGTATAATTTATCTATTCCAAAAGTTTATCTTTTCTATACATTTTTATTAATTTAATACATCAAAGAGCAGCTGAATGTTAAAAAGGTAATAAATACAGAGTAAGAATCTAAGAAATGTATACATATTTTTAAATACTACATATTTTGACCTGCTCTGGTGATTTATGAGACATTGTCATCAGAAATCACTTCTGTTTTAATTTTACACTTTAAATACATCTACTTAGACTATATTTTATGTAAGTACAATTTAGCTTTTATCTCCCTTTTTAAAGTAATTTCAATTATTTCCTTCTTTGCTTTGGAAAAAGTAGAGCGAGGTGCAGGGCAGTTAAGAAGAGGTTGACTATCAGGGTGGCAGGGAAAAACAAAAGGAAGCATTTGCATTGATCAGTGTTTACATTCTCACCAAGACGGACAAAAAAAAAAGTGAAAGTGAGAAATCTGAATGTTTGATTTATGCGGCAGGATCACACATCTCCTGGATCCAGCTGGCGGCTGCATGGCGCCTGGTGTGAGGGGGGGTGTGTGTCGGTGTCAGAGCTGAGGCTTCCTGGTCTACACCAGAGCTTAAATGATGCTCGTCTGGCTGGTTGCTGATGAACACGGGCAAAGGCGTCTTTCTTCGACTGGAGACTGTGATCTCCAAGTAGGACAGGGTCAGACCGAGGGGTGTGGCTAAAATAAGGGCTAAAACCACTGACTGGCTTGCTGTCAGCATCACAAAAAGCAGGAAGAGTGCCAAGAGGAAGGGGAGGAAGAAAGGGGAGGGGTTTAGGAGGTAACGATGGAGAGAAGCAGTAAAGTTAGATGGATGGAGGGGGCTCAGAGGAGGAAGAGAGGGATGGGAAGAGAAAGAAAAGGAGGAGAGCGAGGAAAAGGAGACAATGTGAGGGCAGGTAATGGAGAGTTTGGGTAAATGTAGCTGCTTTGTGTGGAAAGGAAGAGTAGGAATCAGTTTTAAGACCTTTCGGGGTAGTTGTGTCAAAAATGCCAGAAAATGAGTCCACTGGGATGCTAAACTGTTAATAACTGGACGTAACTTAGACCTAAATGTGCTGAAAGCTGAATATTTATGTCCAGAGGTGTTAAAATAAATGCTCAGCTTTCCTGCTAATCCTGAAAATATATTCCTGGGAATACACCTGCTTTCACTCTTGCCTAAAACAGAGAGAAAACCCAAGATAAAGCAGGCAAATTTAACCACACCCTTCAGAGAGAACCACTGTCGCAAATCTGTCAAGCCAGTCGTTGCTGTGGTAACGCCCTCCTCGTGTTTCACAAACTCTGAACTGAGTGTCTGGGGGGCAGCGAGTGGCTGAGAGCTTGCAGAGGTTTGAATCAGGTGTCCAAGATCAGCAAGCCGCTGATCGGTGAGAAACGAGAGGGTGTTTGAGGGAAGACTCCACAACGAGTGTGCGGTGGCTTCCGCCTCGTTGGCGCGGTCGTCGTCTTCTGAGATGTCTGAAAGGGCGCGGTCAAGCTCCGAGATGGAGTCGAGGGAAGGGGGGATGGATGAGAGTGAGGATGATGAGGAGAAGGAGAGAGGAAACATAAAGATTGACTAACGGATGAGGGGGGGGAGGCGAGGTAAAACATACATGGGGATAAAATGGAGCAAAATAGAGGGAGAGTAAAATGCATAATGTTGGAAAAGTAAAAAAGCAAGATGTGAAAAATGAACAGAAACAATAAACCAAAATAAGTAAAAGCATTTCGTGACAGGAAAATATAAAATCATGCAGATGGGATGTGGGAAAAACAAATTATAGGGGGTGTTTTTGGAGGAAAAAGAGAAAGGGAAAGAAACATTACATTAGTCAGTGAACGACACAGCACAACAACTCAAAAAGTGATCGTAGCAGGGCAGAGAGAAGTGCAGAAAATAAAGGGCACGAGTGTTCAGAGAAACTGTCAAGTGAGGATCAGGAGAAAAGGGTTGGCAGTGAGGAAAAGGTGGCAAGACAGGAGACATGCACTGCAAAATACACTGCTGGGGTTTTAGGAGGGAGCAGTGCCCCCCTCTGGACACACTGGGATATTGCTGTTCAGGTAGGAGGATGCAGAATATGTGCACAGCCAGGGGTAATAGCTATTCAAGTAAAAATTAAAATAAAAAAATGGAGACTTATGTCAGGAGAGGGACTTTCTACTAAAGAAGAAACATCAGCTTCCAAATATATTGAGAGAAGGTGGAAAAGGGTCGGCCTAAAAAAATGGATCTTTAATTATATTTGCGTAATCCTGCACTGAGAATAATCCAACATTTCATCAAAGAACATTTAATCAACAGTTAATATGATAGGACAAAGCAACAGCTTTTGACGCCTTAAATGACTCTTGGTTAATACTTCATTTATCTCTTCTTTCTTTTATCGTGAAATTTGTGAGTACATTATAATTTTTTTATGCATGTTATATATGATTTATTCATATTTTTAATTTTATGCTGAATAGAGATAAAAATAAAACTGTATTCCATTTGAATGTGTGTGAGTTGACACAGAGGATCATTTATATTAGTTAATCTTCAAAATACGAAACTCCTGGAGGACATGTAAACTCAATAGGGCAGATGTTTCAAAAAGAAACCAGACCTACAATGTTCTTTATAGAGAATAGTAGGAAATTGTGACATTTAACAGTTACCAGTCATCCACCGTTAGATCCTCCTCTATTCTGTTCAACCATCACAAACGTAAACAAACACAGTTGCTAAATCCACTGGGAGTTTTAATGGAGTCGTGTGCTTTTGTCAGGTCTGGTGTAAAAAGAGTGGACTCAGGTCTCTGGATGATCTGTAATCGGTCAAAGATCATTTATGTTTAAGCTATAATGCTGTGAAATGTTCTAAAACGTTTTAATAGGAGGCTGATTTTCAACCAAACATTTATATAGAAGATTATAGATTTCTCAGAACTGGGTTTCATCCACTATCAGTTTGACTGGTTTTGGCTAATAAATGGTATATTTAAAGGTTTCAGGCTCAAATAGAATTGAGTATGGCTCCCTACGTCTCTTAAAATATATTCCAAGCCTGAAGGAATTTATTAGTTGTTGCATCGTCAAAGGCAATGTGAGGTTAAGCATAAAAACTGACACGCTGAAAGAAAACATTACTGTTGAATTCTACTTCTGTTAACATTTCAAGGATTTTATTAGGGAACATTCAGATAAAAGTAAAGAAAGCCAAGTCGTTATAAAAGCCTGACATCTGGATCCTCATTTTGGTTCTATTCAAGTCCTCCCTGTGGCCATCACTGCTTTCTGAAGTGAGCAGAGGCTCTATTTTTTAAAGTTAACAGAAACAGGAAAGTGATGCTTTTATCACGTCTCAACAAACTAAAGTGTGAGTTTTCTCCAAGAAATGGAATAAAAACATCATTAGTTATTTGCTGTTTTCTAGAGTTTAATCTCTTACTGTGGAAGCATAATGACCTTAGCTCATACACACCTTGGAGTCAGAGTGGAGCTCTAGATGAGGGTCCCGTCCGTTCTCAGCCGTCTCACTTCCAGCCTCAGTGATGCTGATCATTGGAGCTGAAGGGACAAAAAAACACCAACAAAAAACAGGTCATCTAACTGCTTAATATTTAGAGAAGAAAATTCAAGATCAGAAGTTTGATATAAAGATGTCGAATTAACGATTGTTTTGTTAATTTAGATTTAAACTGATTACTAATGTGATGATCTTTAAAAAAAAAAAAAAACTGTAGCTTTTACTGCACAGAGTAATGATAAGAATAATGGATGGTGAGCTGTAATAACACAATGTGTCCAGCAGGGGTCATTGTTTGTTAATTGGAAAATGTCTCGGACAGAAAACAGAGAAACTGCTGCAAAATAACCAAATGTGGAAAATCTTAGGAAAACACTGTGTTCTGTTTTATTTAGTTTTTTAAAGAGGAAACAAAATGATTGCTGGTGTTTTATGCAGAAACGACTACAGCTCCAACGTCAGGTTTAGTTCATGCATAGGTTTATAACTTTACTCTTATTACTCAATAGCCAGTGTCAGGTTTCTTTTTACTGTAAGTCTTTTCAATAAACAGAGGATTCTTTATTTTCATCTTTCCCTCGCTCTGTCTCTCAGTGTGTAACAGGAAACAGATGCTCCAGCTATTTCCGGTATCTGGTTTGACATGCAGCATATCAGATCCATTTCAAAAAAGATATTCAGACATAAATTTATGAAATTCCTATCGTTTCATGCTTGAAATTCCTTTTTTTGAGCATATTTCCTTTAATGTCAAGTGTTTCTCATATACTGAGGTGCAGCAAAGGTTACCTCCATCCAGACTGCGGCTGATGCGTTTAGAGGAGGTGCGCTCAAAGCTGGGTGCTGGTCTGTCTATCAGGGAACTGGCCAGCCGGGTCTGGGCCTGAGTTCGCCCACTGTAGCGGAACTTGGATCCCAGGGTCAAAAAGCGGGCCTTGGTAGGAGTCTCTGAAGCATTTAACCTGAAGACAAGAAACGGAGCATACCTGAATCATATTCAATGTTTTTCTTTGAAATAACCTCTCTCAGTTACCTTTATATGCACATGCCCAGTCAGACAGGATATTGAAGCTTATTCCATGTCTTATTTCATACAAACAGAGCTGCACAGGAATCCAGCAGCGTGCGCCTGGATTGACTTTCTGTGTTTGTGTGTGAGTGTATCTTTTACAGAAATGATCAGCCAATGAGACAAAGGAACATAATCGTGCTTGCTGAGCCAAATTAAGCTCCCAGAACTCTACACAGCTAACTCACATCCCCGTGCAGCATGTGTGTTTCACTGTATGTGGTCATTTCTACCTGAAGAAGCTGTGGTTTTCAACGCAGACTTTCCACAGCTTTTTAGCAGATCGATGATTCTGGAGTTTGAATCCCACAGTGCTTTCGAACTGCTCCGTCTATCCAAGAAAGCACAAAAAAACATGCAGAAACTGGTTAACTGCACAAACTGAAGTATGTGCAGCATATCCATCCATCTATCTCTACCTCTCCTGGTCTGATCTTGATATAGAAGTTGTTCCTCTTGTACGAGATCTTCAGGATTTTGGGCCAAGCGAACCGATTTATCCGCAGTCGGTCTTTGTACACCAGCAGTCCATTAGCGCAGACGCCTAGCATGATATCCACTCCCTCTGAATCCTGTCAGTCAGATAAACACATAGAAAATAAATAAAATCACTTGAAGCAAATATCAGTCTGATATTAAACTTGTGTTAACGGCACCAGTATGTCCAAACCAGATCATGCTGTGCATCAATTGATTTTTAAAGTAGTCAGCTAAAGGTTGGGGGGGAAACCCAATTACCACACACTCATCCACACCCACACACACCAGCAGGGCTTTTACATTGAAGCCCATTTGGTGGTAGTACGGGTGAATTGATTACGGTAATGAATTAACTGGATAATCAGTTGCACTAATGGAGAGTGCTGTAGGTTGACAATAGACTGTTTTACTAGATTTTACACATCAAATGAAAAATGCTATGCTAAAGGCTGAACATTGATTTTTGCCATTATTCTGCAAAGACTAATAGACTTTAGTTGTTTGATCAATAACACAGATAATCAAATTTAAACGTGGACAGTGGCACTATAAGCTTTTCAGACAGCTGAGGGATCTTCAGATTTTATTTACACAAAAAACTTCTTTTATTTAGCTTTTATGCATTAATTCTGCAGCCTGACATTTTAGAAAGACATGTTGGTACATGTCTTTGGTAAATGACATGTTTTTACACTGGAAAAAATTGAAATGTAGATAAGTCATTGTTTCTTAAAATAAGTGCATTTGTTCTTGGATTGAGGAGGTAAGAAAACACAACTGTATTGTCTTATTTAGAGTGCATATAATCTACTTATCTTATTTTAAGAAATGTTTACTTATTTCTAGATAGTTTTTCCAGTGTATATAACATTTGAATGATATTTGCAACAGTTCTCAACTATGTTGCAGATGCAAAGCAAACCCCAGGTTCCTTAAAACCATTATTAGCATTTAATTTTTGTCCTTCTTTAGTTGTAATAAAAGGTTTAAGGACTCCTTTCCAGTCTTTAGAGTAATACAACTTTCAAACACATCATAATTAAGCCAATATAGATCCTGCATTTCCAGAATCATAAATTTTATGTGACTAACTCTCTTGGTGCTGGACCTAAGTGGAACGTGTCCTTAAAGAGGACTCGCCTCTCTCCAGATTAAACTGGTCTCTCCTCATCCTGGTCTAACATTATTTGAACTCTTTTATATTTATCTCCATCATGATCCCTTATTCTCGTGTGTATTCCCGAGCTCATGCACATAAGGAAATATGCACCCAGTTGGCTGATGATCCGCTATCTTAGCCTGTTCCCATGGAAACGGCCTCCCCGAGTGTTTGCACAGCTGACAAACACAGATACAAACATGCGAGCGCACCGGCACGCTCGACCCACATCAAAGGAGCCGGACTAGGCCCAAGATGTCAACAACAATGGAGAGGAAGAGAAGGAGGTGTTCATTTATTCATACCTTAGCGGGGTGCAGGTCCACCCCATACATGGAGAGCTTCTTGGCATTTTCTAGAAACTGCAGGTCCGCCTGTGCGGGTGTCATTCCCCTAAAAAGGAAGAAGAGCCAACATTAAAAGAAATGTAGTTTTCGGGGCATAAATACAATCCAGTCACATAACAGCTGAAACAACACATCTATCAAACTAACATCTCCCTGAGCTTCCAGGCTCCCTGAATCCCTTCCTCTCTTACCTGTGGGATTTGTGGAGTTCAAGAATCTTCTCCTCCATCTCTTTGTTCTGATTGGACTCGAGCTTCAGCTGACTGATGAAGTCCAGAGGGCGGGGCTGATCGGGTTCATGATCACCAAATTCAGCCTGCAAAAGATTCAAAACAGAATCCATCATTGGAGCTAAATACACAATTACACATGCTTCAACGTGTATTACGTTGGAAACACAAAATGCTACACATTACGTATATTTTTTAGCTCTCTACCTGCAACGTGTATGACCCCAGCAAGGCGTGGGTGACGAACGAGCAAGGCAGCCGTCCAGAAGCAACATCCTCCCGCAGCTGCAGACACAAAAGGTATCTAAAAATGATAAGGTGAGAAAAGAGGCTCAAAACAGGAAGCTGGATTGGATCTTAGTCTTGACTCAGTGGAGCAGCTTTCTTTCTATTTTGCTGTTAAAGGTCTTGAATCGCTAAAGACACTTTAATCTAGCATCAAGCAGCTGTTAAACTTTTAAACTATTACTGCCTTCAACTAGATCCATAAGCTGTTTACATCTGGTATTAATTGTCTTTCATGCACAAATATCACACGTACATTTCGTACATCCATCTTTAATGGATCTGGTTCACTTTCACTGAATTTGCTGTATGACTCATTTTCAGTCATTGTGGGTGGTTGTTTTCAACGAATCTGAGCAACAAAGAGCCTAACATGAAAAAGCAGGCCAATGCAGTTGGATGTAATAGATACTTTATTAGGAAAAATAGCTCTGGTGGAGAACATAAACACTGCTGAAACACAAGGAGATATTGTCAGGATGTTTTTTGGATAGGCAAGATTAAAGTCCCCCCTCCAAAGAAAGGGAATATCAGTCTGGGTCTGCAAGTAGGAGGGACTGGTCAGCTTAATGGCTGGAAGTCAAGGTGAAAGGGGATTCTTTGAAAATGCTGCTTTCCCCCTCCCAATATGTGTCTTTGTCCTAAGAAGCCATAAATTAAAGCAGTTATGGAATTAAACATTATTTTATACAGAAGCAAAGATTTATGACACTAGATTGAGCTGAAATAATCTTTTAATCCCTAGACAAATATCTGAAACCTACAAAGAACCAACTAATAGATTAATGAATGATTTAATATACATCTGATAAAATTCTTTAAAGCAAGGATCGTTCTTTGCTTGCTTAGACTCAGTAAGCTTTAGGAACGTCAGGTTACTGGCAACACTGAGGGGCTCCACTGCCTCCGGCCTGTAATATCTTCTCTACCTTTGGCTATTAATGCTCTCTATCTGAAAACGGGAAAAACAGATTTAGAATTAAAAAAAAACATGACCTATTCTTTAGAAGATCTTTCTAATGCTTTTTTTTGTAAATTTACCAATTTAGACATTCTGAGGGCGACCTGCTCCAACAGTCCTTCTAAATAAGAGGAGAGCTGATGAAACCAGAGAGTCAGAGACCAAAGGTGAGCTGTCTGACCTCAACATAGGATCTATGATTTCTTCTATGATTAAATATAGTTTTCTATAGACAGAAAAATCCTTCTTTCCTCTGTACTAACTCAAGTCGCTCCTAGACACCAGACAATGGTGTTCATCACTACTGATCTTTCAAGTAGAATCAAAAAAATTTAATTCATAATTTTCCACAAATTTCAGCATTTAATATTATGTACTCTCTTTTTGCAAGTTTTTTATCATTCATTTTAAAACCTAAAAATTGAATTCCCACAGTAGTTATTTAAAAAGGAAAAATATCCTGATATTTATTGAATGCAACTTATTTTCCTTTTTTTTTTTATATTTCCTTTCATGTTGGCGGCTCTAAACATCTTTTATATGCTGGTCTGAAGTTAAAAAAATGTCTCTCTGGATTGCAAAGGCTGCAGACCCCAGAACTAAACACAAACCTAATCTTTTCTGTTGTTCCCACACGTAACCGTCGCAGTGAGATGACTTTGTGTTCATATTTGCATTTTTGTTTGGTTCCCTTTGATTCTCTGTTTTCTGGTTTCCCATGTTGCTGCTTTAACTTGTCAGCTATTCTCACCAGTTCCTCTTTGCACCGAGAGGCACACATTTTTCCTCGGTTGATCACACCAATTTCCTAGGGTTTTTATCCTCATTTTTAGTTTGCCTTAACTATGACTTCTGTTTAAAATAAGGTATCGACCATCTTTGAGATCATTTCTCTTTAACAGTGGAGGTGGAGGGTAAGTGTGTGGATACCTTGTAATGTCCTCAGTGAGCTGCGATGGGTCCGGTGGGTAAAACTTGACACTGAACACAAACTGCCAGTTGTTACCTGGATAAGGAAATAATCAAATTCAGTCAGATCCCAGCAGTCTTATAAACATTTGAGAGAAAAATTTGAAGAAATTGAGGAAGAAAAAGAAGCACGGCAGCTGTGAAGCAGCATTTTCAAACACAAATATGCAGATCTGGTGTCATGCAACATGCCCCAGCTTTATGAAATGCCAATCCTCATTTAGCCTTTCAATAGTATCAAAAACAAGCTGTCATCACCTAGAATATGACTGTAAATGTCTTCAACAGATGGGGCATTCATTTAATTCAAGCTGCAACCGAAGGCTGGAGCTGTCATGACTTTTGGTTCCACCCAGCAAGAATGTGTGCATGATGTCATGCAGATCACATCATCTGGATATTTTATTCTTAGAATCCCAGACATCAGAGTGAAACCAGCAAAGGAAAAGATGCATCACACTGGTTGAAAATCTCTGGGTTCAGGTTGGCGATGGCTTTTAGATTTTTAACAGCTGTCACATCCCTCTAATAAACTTTTTTTTTTTTAATGACTACAAAAAAATATTACGTGTCGAAAGCATCTAATGCTAATAGATGTTTTCATCATGACTTCTTTATCTAAACATTCTAAAATTTCAAAAAGACAAACAGCAAAAATGTCTCATTTCAAGCTCTTTATCTAAAACTCATCTGGAACAGCCTGTAGATGCGTCTGCTTCTCCTCATTAAAGCTGCAGGACAATCCTAGATGAAAGAGTCCACTGAGGCACGTAGACCTGTCAGATAGTTTGATGAAGGAGCAACTCTGACCACTACTGTTAAATATTAAACAGCCACCACACGCTCAACTGAAAAACCTGGGCCGGATCCAGGCCTGCTCACTTTGCATGCCCTACAGTTAGATTCAGCCAAATTAAAAGTGAGATTAAATCTCGCTGCTGTTTTCTGCCACTTCGTACATGACACAATGTGGGATCCATCCAATTCTGCCATTATTATGAGATTCATAGGCTCATCTTAATTTTTTTATTTTACATTTTTACTATAACCTATAATGCTCTAACAGAGCAGTGCCTAAACAAAATCAAGATAAAGGAATAATTATGTCTGCAGAGACGGTCTGTAATAACAGGCTTTTAAATCTGACAAACACATTGTTGTAGAACTGCATGTTGTGTGACATGAGTCACCTTCCTAAGGCAGTGCTAAAGTGCAAGTTTACCAACTTATTATTTCACTTGTTTGGGAATGTTTCAATATCAGTTCAAAGCGGATAATTTAGTTGCTTTATAAGTCGCAGCCATCATGCGGATAGATGCTACCTACAGAGCTCTGCTTATGCTTCTACTCCCGCCATCAGCTGCGGTCCACTTATCAGGCAGCCATCTATCCATTAGTCCAAACCATGCAGCCATTACATGCATGGTTCTGTTTGTGCTGCCTCTGAATTAGCCCATGAGAGTCCTTCTTTATCACAGCTGCGCTAAGTCAAGCCAACAATGTCCTTTTTATAAATTTATACACATATTTCTGTCATGTTTAATAAATATTTGACTCATTTTTAAGCACTATACATATATACTACATAAAGAGCAGTAATGTGCTTCAAGTTATCATCATCTATAAGGTACCGTATTAATTGCAGTGCCTTGCAGAGCTTTTTATACATTTCATCACATTCAAACTACAAACTTCAATTTTTCTTACTAAAAGTAAAAAAAAAAAAAAAAACATGCCGAGTAGGAAGAAAAGGATAAAGTTGAACATCTAACAAATACAAATTGGAAAGATTTGGTGTGCATTATTAATCACTACTAGATAGACTCCAGTGAAGCAATTTCACCTAAAGATCACCCAATAACTTAATATCAGTATGAATATAGAGATAATGTAAAGGTTTTAGAGGTTTAATAATGAGTATTAGCAGCAAAGTAAGGAATGTCAGAGATATTTTTTTACAGAGCAGGGTTAGATTAAAAACATGATCATCCAGCTACACTTGGAGGTCAGCAAAACAGGAGTTTTAATCAGAGAGGGAGTAACTCCAGGGGCTGAAGAGATCTACAGCTGAGGGGTGACTAGAGGTTAGGTGGTGCTTAGGAATCAACAATGCTGGTATATGCTATCAACATGACTAAAAAATGAGCAAAGGATCACCTTCAAGTAAGAAAAACTTGTATTAAATGTTTTAATAGGCTCCTCAGGATGCAACTAACTTCTAAATAGTCCTTTTACAGAACAAACTACAGGATTAATATGGGTCCAAGCAGACATGCATGTAAAACCAGCAGAAAGCTGGTCCTCTGGGACCCCTGGGTTAGCTCAAAGCATATTTGTATGCTTAATCAAAATGCACATTATGCACATTATCCAATTAAAATATATTGCCCAGCAGAAATGTCCCTAAAGACAGTTCAAGTTGCTCTAAAACAACAACCTAAATCACACTTAATATCAGCTTTATTGGTTTTCAAGCACTTACAGGATACAGAGTGTTTTTAGAGAACATTGTTTGTGATCTTAGTAACTTTTAAAAGCCTAAGATGTGAAACAAATCACAGGGAATAGCTAAGAAATCCCTGCCCATTTATATTTGCATCCCAATGCTGTGACAGCTGCTCTCAGAACTACGGTAGTTTGGAGCAGCATGGTGTGAACCCTGTGTTTTCAGTGTCCGCATATATACAGGCTGTGCCTCTACACTCTGTGCAATCCTCATTACTTTGTAAACATTCACACGCCAAAATAATGTACACAAATGAGCATATACAGTAAGATGCATAGCACTTATCTCAATCTTTACGCACACCGCACGCGTTGCGATGCTCACATAAAGACTGGAATAAACCACATGCATTCTGCACACGCCCAAACTCTGCTGCCTCACACATCTGCAAATTAACTAAAAAGTAAACTCTTCCGACCCTAAATTACACACTTTTACAGTGAAGTTACAGACTTGTTTTGACTTATTTTACAAACATAAGAAACCAAGTATGACTAGAATAGCAGAAAATACAAATTTCAAGTTTTTTACCTTAGTGTCAGATTCATTTATCTTTTTTTCATTAAAAAAAAACACCAAACCCCATTAAACTGATTAAATATGTGAAAAGAAATTGAGACGTTTCAGGAAAATAACGATCCAAACCAATCTCTTAACTATAATCTAGGAACAAAAAGGCTTTAACTGGATTAAGACAACATCTAAACCCAATAATGCGGTTTTCCAAAAGTTTCCACAAAGATGACATTTTCACCAAGTTGTGTAAGCTTCCAAAAACTAATGTCATGCTTTGCTGACATGCAATCAAACATAGCTTTGTTAGCCTGGCAGCTGCTAAGCCAACCTCCAAGCATAAACAGGTGAAACATCACACTGCAGTGTTCATTTAAATATTAACCAACAGTAATGAAAAGGTCTATAAATAATGAAGCAGATGATGACACCCTGGTTAACTCTTGAACATCGCATCACTGCTGTCTTTTAGCTTTCATTGTCTGTACTTTTGTTGAACTGCTTGTTTTCTTCTGTTCATTAATGATCAATTATAAATTAGAATGAGCTAGGGCGGATGAATGGATGTTATAAAAACCTGACATTTCTAAAAAGTGAACTTACTGCGAATTTGTCTCTTAATTTCCTTGGTGGGGTCCAACCAACACTGGAGAAAAAAACACAGCAAATAGGTCATAATCTGTCCTGGAATCAATGCTATTATTCATCCTTAAACTTACACAAGGAGAACACACCTTCTCATCATGGTTGTCCTTGTACGTCAGGCCAAAGTAGTCCTTCTCCAACAGATTTAGATGTTCACACACTTTGAAGAATAAGTACTGCCCCTTAGCTCGTTTCTGCAGAGACAAAATGACAGAAATCACAAAACACGTCTAAACGGCAAAACTATTCCAAACATCTTTTGAAGAACTTCAATATATTACGACAATAAAATATTAAAATGTACTTAATCTGTATTCAGTTTTTCCATGTGTCTCAAGACAATCCACTCCTTCATTATCCTAACATCAGCCTTAGGCCTAAAAACCTCCTCGCTCAGCTATGATGGTGACATTCAGTCTCCATGTTTTTGCCCCCAAACACACAGCGGCCTCCTTCACGGACAGAATGTCAAAGGAAGGCGGGTGGAAAAGAAGGGGCAGCCCATTGCAAAGAACAAAGTAATTATATAAGGTCAGATTCTTCTTCTTTTAGGTTATTCTGCAGAGCTGGACACTGACACTGAGAGGGGGGCATTGCTCAGCAAGCGTGGTGGAAGTGGAAGGAAGAGGATGAAAGAGTTCATTTTTCTTTTTGTCCTGTGAAAAGCTGGAAACATCTGTTGTATTTTCCGAAACATGGTCAAACAGGGGAGCCGATAACACACATTCTGACTATGGACCTGAAGCCCAAATGAACGTCAGAATGCATTTTTCCTCACGGCAAAGCGCCGCTGGACCAGTTAGGCAATGCAAAGCAAGTTTATTTGTTGAGCACAATTCAGTATAAGCACAATAAAAAGTGCTTTACATGAATTAAACAATAAAATAGAAGTACTATAAAAGCAAATAAGGATAAAAGCAAGTAGTAAAACAAACCAGAACAGCTGGATATCAACCTTAAACTACTAATATCTCAGTTAACAATTTAACTTCAACAGCTAAATACAGTTCTAAACAAATGGGTTTTTAACTTTGATTATGCTCCAGATAAGAGGAGCATAAGAACTAAGTGCTGCTTCTCCAAGTTAGGTTCTAGTTCTGGGTGATCAGAGTAGGGTGGAACTAGAAGAGTAGTTGGTTGGTACACTGAAAGCAAATCCGTTATGTATCGATGTGCTGATCCATTCAGTGATTTATAAGAGAAGGATTTTATAGTCTATCCTCTGAGCTACAGGGAGCCAGTGTAAGAACTTTAGAACGGGGCTGATGTGCTCTACATTCTTATTGCCAGTGAGAACACGTGCAGCAGCGTTTTGGATCTGCTGCAGCTTTCTGATGGAATGTTTAGGTAAAATAGATGCATGATAGGGAAGTTTGTAAATACCAGCGGTTTTTATTGCTGCAACAGATTAATAAAGTTTAACATGCGTTTCTACGTTATCACTCTGCATCTCATTTTGACACAGAGAAATTTTTTAATTTGTAACACGAGAGAAAGATAACATGGATTAAAATTATTTATAAGACTTCAGATATCAACATAGAAATGAATCCATAGAATTAGTTTGTATAAATTAGCTGGTTTCTAATGTTACAAAATGCATCTAGTATTGTTAAATGCTAGATTTGTGTACAGTCTGAAATCTGAACAGATTCTACCTAAATCGTGTGACACAAAAATATCCTTTTTAACCAAGTTTAGCGAGACTCTTAGAAACAGAATTAGCATCATGTGACTCCAAGAATCTCCCCTCTGACATATATTTGAAACAGTCCAAGTGATCCGGAGGTGTAAATCTGTGGTTTTGACAGAGTTGGAGGTCCGCTGGGAAGGACAGAAAAATCCAATCTCTGGAATGCTTTGCGCATCTTTCCATGCCGCCATGCTAACTGTGCCAGCATCCAGAGGGAGGGATAGATGGATGGATCTGTGTGTGTGCTTCACTACAGGACAATAGCAGCTAGTTGCAGTATCAGCGTATCTGTTGTGACACAAAGCAGCCACTGTTCAAACAACCACAGACTCTCACGGGGGAGCTGTTTGGGCGTTGGCAAACTGTAGATCAGGCAGCAGGTTCACTTTAAAGTAAACAATTGGAAACTCTAATATTGAAACCCTCCAGGATTTGGTCCTGCATTCTGTTTAAGGACACTCATAGCAGAAATGTCCGAGAGGATCAGTACAATGGCTATTTTTGGAATGCTGGATGGGGGCAAGTGTGGGAATGTGATGGGCTGTAGGTCTAAAAATGTTCAGTGTGTGGGAAACAATTTCAGATATAATTAACTTCAACGATGACATTTTTTTGCGAGAAGGGAGGCAGGGGGGTTATAGAAGATCAATACAAGAGGAAACGATGGGGCAGGATTAGATTCGTCATGTTTGGTGGTACAGGTCAACTGTGAGACACCAACAGTCCAACAGTACAAAATTTAAAGCTGAATCTTAAAATCTACTCATGATGTCATTTGGGTCCAGGAAGCGGCCTCTCCCCCCTGGTTATGCTCTTTCTGGGTGCTCTGCTTCTCTCTCTGCTCTGTCTATTCTGGACAAACAAAAGTTGCTCCCATTAACATGTAGGATAATACAGATGTGCTGTAATCCCTTATTTTTACTGTTTTAATCTGTTTTCATAAAGAAAGACCTGAAGCGAAAGTGAAGATGCTAACATATGCTGACTGAGTGAAGTTTTAGGCTCAATCCAAATACACCAAAATGTAGCTCTATCCTGGGTAGAAAAGGAGCTACTGTGTTTTTTCCAGACAGTGTTTATCATAACACCAATGAAAAATATATAGATGATTCTAGTCAAATTGGGAATAAAGCTAAAGGAACTACAAAAAAGGCAAGTTGTACAGATTTAGCGATTGGCTGAAATTGTATGTTAAATAAACTGAAGCTGTCAAACGATGGATTCCTTATAGTTCCTTAGCAATAGTTAGAAACTCCTTTATAATGTGAAAATTGAAGAAGAAGAAAAGAAAATTGACTTGCAATTTCTGTCTCTTAAAGGTTTATTGGATTAAAATTTGCTCCATAGAATTAACTGATAACATCAGCTATAAAGAATTTGTTTTTGTGTTATATTGTGCCACCGACCACTAGAGGTTAAGCATATTATTCACACTCTTTAATTAATGGCCACAATGACGCAGAATGCACTTTATGCAGTTATGCTTGTAAATACAAACACTTGATAAACTCCTTAAGTTATCACCTAAATAGCTTCTATTTAGCCATGCTGCTTAGGGGAGCAGCGTCAACTTCTCTATTGTGCTCAGAAGTTGAGGATGTGAGGACAGAAGAAAGAGACTTGCTGGAAATATGCACAGAAGATTGGGAATGCTTTTATGATTTAATGCACTTTATAGAGCCAAGTTTAACATTCCTCTGAGAGCAACCAGAACCTCCAGTTTAAAAGCACAAAGTCTCTCCTCTCTCCCACCACTGATTGGTGTGCATCAAAAACAGAGAGCTATAGCACAGTTAGCTTCCACTTCAATTAAAGTGGAAAATAGTCTGACAGTGTTTTACATATTTTACTTATCCTTGTTTCAGTCAGTAAACTAATAGGTTACTCTGTTTATATCATGAATATGTTTAGGTTTAATAATGTTTTTTATTAAACAATTAATACAAACTTTACAATATATTGTTTAAATATAAAGCTCTAATTATAAAAAAAAATATATTATTTAGTCCATCGTGTTTCCACACGAAAAAGGCAGCTAAGCAGTTAATTTAATCAATTGATAGGATCAATCAACTCTACAGCCTCCTCGTCCAACCTCCCTTCTTACTGCCGGCACTATTCAGACAGCGCTAATGACCACAGCAAACCACTTCCATTTGGTCCTTACTGATTTGATGGATTTAAATTGATTCAGAGTACAGGTAAGATTACAGAAATGTAACTACCTCTATTTATTTTTTCAATTCAATTCAGTTTAATTCTATAGCACCATTTCACAACACATATCTGAAGGCTCTTTCCAGCCACATTATAATCAGATGATCAAGTCAAGTTGGTTAAAGTTTTCCAAGGAAACCAGCTGATTGCATCATTCATAGTCATTGACTTTACAGGATTTGCTTCTCCTGGATGAACATGTGGCAGTAGCAGATATTTGCTTGCACTGTGTCATTGCACCTCATGCAAGAACTGTTTATACAAACAAATTAATTCTTAAATAATTCATAAGAATGATTACGGAAAAAATGTCACATTCACCAGTTTTTATTCTATTTCTAATCATCTCCCAGCTACAAACAAATTTTACAAATTCTCCAGACTTGACATAAGAGTCTTGCCCAATCAGACAGCTGTTATCCAAGCCTAGTTTTCCACTAAATGATTACAGTTATTTTATTTTAAGAAATTGTCTATTTTATGAGGCTACATATATTATGCAACTCCACATTTATAAATTACCTTTTTATTCCCTGATGACAGAAGTTGGTTATTATACCTGCAGCTGACCTGTCGGTATCCAGAGGTCACTGGTTTAATTTGTTATTTTGTCACAACAAAGAACAGTCATTGAGCTCTATGTGGGATCAAGCTACTATTGAAATAACACGAGAAACAGGAAATAGATAGAAAGTACAGCAACACAGCAAGACTTGCACTCATTTCACTTCATCACAGCTCATTGTGTTATTAGATGAAATGAGGAATAGTTGGGCTTGGGTCTGTCTGAATTAATCAAATTAGAGTTTCAGCCCTAACATTTTTGTTGAAATAACACGAGAAACAGGAAATAGATAGAAAGTACAGCAACACAGCAAGACTTGCACTCATTTCACTTCATCACAGCTCATTGTGTTATTAGATGAAATGATGAATAGTTGGGCTTGGGTCTGTCTGAATTAATCAAATTAGAGTTTCAGCCCTAACATTTTTGTTTATTTTTGAGACAGATGGAGAGTGGGATGAAGGGATGACAGACGTGGTCTGAAATGTTCATTATAAGTGTGCGTGCGTTAAAAGGAAAATTGGCAGGATGTTGTGTCATGTTTATGGCAAAGTCATATTAAGCCTTTACATCCTATGTTGCTCCTCTTGTCTCCATCAGTAGTTTTATTCACCGTTTTCAGATCAAATGATTTTTCTTTTTATATTATTTGTATTTATTTAACTTCTCTAACACTGCAACCACAACATTTACAGCCACTGTGATTTTTTTCACTGGTCGTTTAATTCTGCAGCTCAGCTTTCAGTCAGCAGAACTTCATCTCGAGACCAGTGAAATGATTTCTACTTCATCTTCAATGCCATTTAATGTCTTCTGAAAAGCGTGAGAAGACGTAGACCTCCAACTTATATGCAGCCCTATATGGCATAATTGGGCTGGTGATTATGCAGATTACCATTCCTCGAGAAAGAGGAGCTCACTTACAAACAGGTGGACTGCATCAGGCTTACTGAAGTTAAGAACATTGGTTGAATCTGATGTTTTCGCGTTCATAAAAGCTCACAGTAGGAGAAAAAGTAAGAGAAATTATGTTAAGAATGTAAAAATGTTGCATGAGGACCATTGAATTTTCAGCAATCTCTCACACCCAGGATGCATGCAGCTACAGTGGAGTGGAAAAACTCCCTTTTTAACAGGAAGAAATCTCCTGCAGAACCAGGTTCAGTGTGAGCGGCCATCTACGTAGAGAAGCGGTTTCAGAGACAAGGCCTTGCAAATTCATTCATACACCTTGAACTTGTTTTAACATTTTGTCAACTTACAAACAAAATAAGTCACGCATTTCATTGGAATTTCACGCAACCGACATAAAAATAAGAATGCATATTTCTCCAGTAGAGGTTAAGTGATTAATAGATTTTAAATTTTTCAGATGCCCTGAATCAACACCCCGCAAAACCACCTTTGGTTGCGGTTAAAGCCAGGAGGAGTGAAGAGTTTTTCCATGTCTGTAAAGGTGTGTAAAAACCTCTTAAAGCAATCTAAGCTGTTGTGTTTGTCTACAGGAGAATGATACTGGGGGAGGGGGTTGGGGGGGGGGGGGGGGGGGGGGGGGGGGGGTAAAAGAGACACGTGCCTACTGGGGACCAACAGATGGGGAAAACTAATCTGGGGAGACCCCTAATCTGACATGTGTGTGTTTTATTAACCAGACAAGCCCCCAGCAGCTTGGTCTGCTTTGCCCTTAAATTACATCCTAAACAATGTGAGCAGGTGGCACCCCCAACACGGCTATGCTCTAAGTCAGGAAGTTCAAGCCCCTCAGCTTTTTCCTCCAAAGACACACACCACATCTGATCCTATTAGCGATTACATCACTGACGCAGCAGCCGCCATGTGTAGACACTTTTGATGGAACAAACCTACATTAATTGATATAGGAGGTCCAGTGACGCCTTACCTCTACTTCACAGGTGAAGTCGGTCCCATCCAGGAGGGTAACATGACACACCACCACCTTCATCTTGTTCTTCCTCACCAGGCGAAGAGGAGACTGGAAAATGGAAGTCTGGCTTTCCCCACCGTCTGTTTCAGCCTCCACGTGTCCTTCAGACTCTTTCTTCTTTTCCTCCCTCTCTGCTTCTTCTCCCTCTGCAGCCTCTTTGGTCTTCTCTGGACTTTTCTCTTTAGTGTCTTCCACCTTCTCTTCCTTGGCCGGCTGTAAGGAAAAAAGCGAGGAATATGGTATCAAATAAACCAACCAACAGGTTTTTGATTGGTTTCACTCAAACATTTCTGAATGAGGTCTGATTTCTTCGTTATGGCATATAAACTTCAATTGTTAGTTCAGAGTGAGTCTGAGGAGCTCACTTTCCCCTCCTTTACACTCAGTGTGTTATCCCCTTTCCAATTTGATGTTTAAAGGGAAACAGGCTTTTTTGTTTTTTGGCCTGATGACTAAAATGTTGATGTCAATGGGTGGACCCCTTTGGAATAATGTGATCAGTGGTCTGAACACCGCATGTCTGCATGCTGGAGAACTTTTAGAAGCAATGAGGACAATTTTAAAGAGAAAAATAATGCACATAGAAACATATATCACATCTATCTCAGTTTGGTTCTTCTTTTCTGCTCTGAGGTCCGTTCTCTAAAATCATTGAAAACAGCATCTGTTTATGCTGTATTGGGGATGATGTGTACAGCTCAATCAGTACCTCAGTGTCTGCAGTGGCGTTGGAACCAGATTCAGCTTCTTTTGTTTCCTTCACTTCCTCCGACTTTATTTCCTGTGTCTCTTCCACTTCCTCGGCGTGACCGTTTAGCTCCGGGACAGGCTCCTCCGCTCCCTCCGTTCCCTTGCTTACAGGTTCCTCTGTCGGTGGGACCTCCTTTGTTGGAGACGTCTAAAATAATGAACAGATTTTAAACAATAACAAACCTAGCTGATAGTAAAAGTTATTTCAGTCTCAAAAAGAACAAATAAAAAATTACCTGGCTTTGAGATTTCTGCTTCTTAAACCATGTTGGCAGGTATCGAGTTATCCCTTTGCCTTCTTTGCCCTCTTTTTCCTTCTCCTTGCCCCTTTCCTTCTCCTCTCCTTCAACGTTTGCTACTTCCTGACCTTCCTGCTTGGCCGTATCTGATTGGTCCTTCTGAGCAGCTGTTTCTTCTGCTTTCTCCTTCACCTCTGTCTCAGAGCCTGCTTCTGTTGTCATGGTGACGGGTCAATCTACGAAAGAGAGGGGGGGAAAAAACGGAGGTAAGTGATGAAGCATGAGTCAGCCATGATGAAATGATTTTAGGACCCTGTGTTCTTGGGGCGGGAAAAGAAAACAAACTGAGGGTATGTCTTACTTTCAACCTCATGCAAATGTTTGTCTTACATCAGCTGGAAGCAAAAATATGATTTCATGTTTCCACACTGAGGTTTTCCTTAGGGTCAAGCACATAGAGATCAACCCAGAGAAAGAGCAAATTCCCCTTATTGTTAAAACATGAGTCACAACGTCTTCATCCTGCAGCTGTGCTCAGCATAAACTAACATTTCAACCTAAATTTCTCTGGCAGCCCTGTCCACACAGCCTTTCACAGTAACAGATACTTTCAAGCAGCATGACACTAATTTGTTGCTAACGCTGCGAGACTGTGACACCATTCAAGAGAATAAGAGGTCACGGATGATAGTGAATCAAACACAACTCTAACAGCTTTGAAGAAAAAAATAAAATCCATATCATTCAACTCGATTCATGTCTCTCATGCTGTCCTTCATAAGGCTGACTTCTTTGTGCCGTGTTAAATAAAAGAGGACGCAAACATTCATGGAGCAGCAGCGGTGCAGAGGGAGGGGGTCGGAGTAAAAATAGAACAGGCCTTCTTACGCATGATTGGCTAATGAGGTAGAGCTAGGGGAAGAGATGGATGGTGAAAGGTGTGTGTGTCTGGGAGAAGCAATAAACTGCTTGATTAGACAAGAAAACATGCCATATAAGAGACATGGCTGGTAATATTGTAGAGCTTTCATCAATTGAGAAACTGATTCCTTAGTAGTTCAACCTTCAGTCAAAATAAAAGAGCAAAGGAAATAATGACTTCAGGATCAAGGATAGAAAATAAGCAAAGCACTTATACAAAAGAGGGTGCTTGTTGATCTAGGAATGTAAAAGTAACATCGAGGTATAAAGCTTTCATCCTGATGTAGAGTCAAAGGATAATATTTCTTTTTTTTTATCTGCATCAGAGTAACTGTAAAGATATACTACTACATCAGTTATGTAAACCTTCAGGCTTTTTATTTATATGGCCATAATTTCCAACATATCATCTCCAGGTGCATAGAGAAAGAAACAGTTAAGCATTCATTCCTCCCAGCTATGTGGGCCATGCAAGGGAAAAGCGTCCCCACACCATGATGCTGCCACCGCTATGTTCCAGGGTGGGAAATGTGTGCCTGGAATGAAGTAGTGTTTAGGATGTATTGTAACATTTAAGGAACACTAAGGCCATTTCTTACACTGGATTCCAACTGTAGGAAATTCTGAACTTCCTCCATTTTTCTTCGACTTTATAAATATGTTTCACTTGTGGTTGGGTTATAAAGTGGTAGTTTTAAACTGATTAAATATAAAATTAAAGGAATAGTACACCCAAAACATGATTAGCCTTCATTTTCTACTCACCCCCATGCTGAACAACACTCTTGAGTACTTTTTTGATATCTCAAATGCATCTGGAGATCTGGGAGGCTTCTTGCTGTCTGCTGACATTCAAATAATGGAGGTCTATGGTGTCCGAGACAGAAAGGTCCATAAAAGTCCACAAAAAACGTGTCAATATTCCTCCATACTGCTCGTCCAATGTATTCCAAGTGTCCTGAGTGGGTAGCATCCAGAATTTACTCGAAACGAAGTCATTTAGAATGTTTTTAGAGCATAAACAGTAGTGTATAGGATTTCCTGAAAGCCCGCACATGCACGCTCCCGACGCTACGGAAGCCGGCAGACCAAACCAGATGAAAGTGCGCATTCAGCGGCTGCTCTGCCAATAATGCAAGCGTAGAAGAAGAAATGTGCTGTTTACCTGTGCAAAGAAAGAAACAACGAAAGAAAAATGTCTGAGGACTTCAGTGTTGAGGAAGAGCATGAGTTCTTTGCCGAGCTGAATGCGCTGGTTTGGTCTGCCGGCTTCCGTAGCGTCGTGAGCGCGCATGTGCGCGCTTTCAGGAAATCCTATACACTACTGTTTATGCTCTAAAAACATTCTAAATGACTTCGTTTCGAGTAAATTCTGGATGCTACCCACTCAGGACACTTGGAATACATTGGATGAGCAGTATGGAGGAATATTGACACGTTTTTTGTGGACTTTTATGGACCTTTCTGTCTCGGTCACCATAGACCTCCATTATTTGAATGTCAGCAGACAGCAAGAAGCCTCCCAGATCTCCAGATGCATTTGAGATATCAAAAAAGTACTCCAGAGTGTTGTTCAGCATGGGGGTGAGTAGAAAATGAAGGCTAATCATGTTTTGGGTGTACTATTCCTTTAAATTAGATTCAATGAATTCAATTGTCTTATAAAAAGAGATCCAAGTGTTTAACACTACTTAGATTTAGGCTGGTAGAATAAAAAAATTAATAAATAAAACAGAATGAATGCTTCTCTTTGAAAGTTTATCCGGAGATGCCATCTAAGTGGAGCTTCGTCATGGCGGCTTAACCCTGCTTTAAACTCACCCTCTTTTTGTGCAGCTATTTAACACCAGGAACTTTGTTCTGGTGCTCCCACAGCTTCAACACTCTCTCTTCTCCTCCGCCTTCTCCCCATTTCTCTCTTTTCTTTTCTGCTCAGGAAGAGCAACTCTCTCTCTTCCAAAGCCCGATTTTAACCTCCCCCATTTACATTATCTCCATCTAAACTCATATGCTCTCTCCTTTCTTCAAACAGCACTTGTAAGACATAGAAGCCCATAAAACTAGCTTTACAGCATCTAATGGTACAGCAGCTATAACAGCTGGTTCAAACAAATGAGGTCACATGCAGGTTAAAGCACATGGCCTCACCTAGCTAGACAACTCATTGAGGACGGTTCTGAGTTTGTCTCCAGGTGTAAACTGGGGTAACAGTGCATGTTGGTCAAAGATTTTAAGCTCAATTAGTGACGTTCAAGAGGTTTAAGTGGTTTAAGTGGACATAAGAATCCAGAAAACACGGTGTAAACAAAGCTAGCAGATAGAGGACAGATAAACACAAAAGCTGGGGTTGGTGATTAAACATTCCTGAGCTTTCTCCCCATTTACCTTTGCATGTCCCCACAGATTTAATCATTATCCCATAGCATGCATTACTGCTTTTCTCAGCCTTGTGCATTTAATGTGATGCAGTTTACATTCATTAGCTTTACAGCACTACCACAGACCGAAAACTTCCTCTTTTTAAAGCTGAGAAATGTTGATTAGATCACATTGTCTGCCTCTGTTAGCTTTGGTTTTCTAAATGAAGGGATGAATTTGTGGTATTGAGCTGATGAAGTCATAGCCTTACCTACTCTCTCTTCGATCCTTCTCACCTACAGTTTCCTCCTGAAATCACGTTCAGCTCTTTCTGCCTTTATTGTCGGGTTTTTTCCCCTTTCTACTTCTCTCTCCTTCTCTTTCACAAACAGCCTGCCCTACTAAGTGTGATTGCCATTTTCTGTCCTCCGTCCCTCAGAGCTCCACTTCCCCCTCGGGAACATCACTCGGAGAAACGAGGGCAGCAAGCGGGAGGGAAATTCTGAATCTGGAGGGAGGGGTGGAGTTAGAGAAGATGGGTGGGAGAGACAAAACACATGAAGGAAAAAATACCAGCACATGCCTACTGCACCAGATTACCAATGGACGTCGATTGACTTCCTCCTCTTCCAAAACAACCTCCTTCACTCCAATTCCTCCTCCTTTTTTATAACACTCAATTCAGCATTTATGAGCATCCTAAAAGCAGCACTAGCTGAGTTATCAATCCCTAATTTTTGGACTGCAGAGACAGTACAACCCAAAAAGTAACCTCAGAGACTTTAAAATCCCTATGATAATCATAAGATATGACCAGCATTCATATAATATGTTTCGCCCATTAAATACTGGAGCAAAAACAACTGATTTAAAACAGCTTTTATATATGGAAAACGAGGAGCCTAGAGTAGAAAAAATGATCTTCAACTAAAGATGACCAAAATAATCAAGGTTTATAATCTGTCTCCCTATATTCATGTTCCGTTTCTATGCTTTATTGAAGATAGTAGGGCTTTCTAGGTGATAAAAAAGCACATACGTACCACCCACCCTATTCTACAGGGCGTAGCAGGGCGAGAGTGGAGGAACAGGTTTCTATGGCAAAGGCATTCATCGCCTGCAACAATAAATCCCCATGGAGACAAGAGATTACAGCGGCACAAATAAATATCAGTGGACGAGGGGATTGGTGACAATAGAGAACATAAGCGTGTCGAACTGCTTTCAGAGCACATCAAGGTTACATGCAATGCTCATTGAGGACAAATCAGAGGTGGAACGGTTACTTCTGACCGCCTCCTTTCATAGCAGCATCAGGAGAAAAGTGTCCTGCTAACACCAGCAACTTTATCAATGACCGTCTTTAAAAAGAGATCCTGATGGTGCTGAATTTATGACTTCATTGAGCAAAGTAAAACCAAGGTCAACTGATTACCATTTGCAAAATGAGGTGGCAGTGTGCAAACTAAAGAGCTACTTCTGTTTACATCCAATCCGGTATTTTGAGTTCTGATATCAACACATCACAAGGGTTGAAATCCAAGCTGCTCTGTTGGCTTACTGATAATGTCAATTTTCTAAAAAGAGAAAGACACTGAGCAATGTTAGCAGCCAGCTAGCAGGCTAGCATTCACAGCAGCTCTGTGATTAACCAGCTTTTAATCATGTGTCGCTGAATGGGAAAAGTTTTACACAAGAAACACGTTTTAATAATGTTAAACTACCAAGAGGTGGAAGCATCAGCACAACCTGCAATATAATTAACTTAAACTTTTGAAAAGCACCACGTTAAAGAGCACAGGGGGCAGACAGGGTTCAGGAAACACGTATGGAGTCATTTAGAAAAAAACTAAGTAAATGTTAACACTTATTGCACTTTATCAGGGGTCTCCCCAGCATGTTTCAGGGTAACAGGTCATTACGCACAAAAAAGTCACTGTTCTCCTGAAAAACCAGG